CAAGAAAGCAATGCTTAATAAGTCTTGCCCAAGTACATTGAAAGCCTTCCTCCACAATCTACCCATCAATCAGGAAGACATTTTCTGAATGGACACACTCCAACACTCCTGGTGAAGCTGTTCCAAGGATTCACTAATTGAGAAGTACTGTACAAAAGGATAATACCACCTATAATCAATTAGGACATTCATCTAAAATAAAGTTCTGCATTTTAGACAATGTTCTAAGGTTATTGTTCACAATTTTATACTGAGCATCAAAGTAAACAAACACAATTTGAGAATTATCTCACAAATAGCAAGAATTCTTGTTGATATCTCAAATTCTTTTGTAATACTTAAGAGAAAGCTGCAGAACTACCACATTCTGAGAATACATGAGTAGTCTATATCCTTTTAATGCAGACTGTGAACATGCATATATGGCTTTACCCCTTTCCCAATGAGACATACACCTTTAGTGTCTTATAGCAGAGCAAGTTTGCAAATTACCCTGTGGCGGCAAATGATGCCTCACTGTGGAAGTTTTCTAGGTGAGAAAGGCTTTCATATTCTTCTCCCCAAACTGGAGAAATAGCTTAGTCAATTGTATGACTGATTAATTGTCTAATTAGCACAATGTTTCCTTTTATTGAAGTGTTAGGCAGGTTTTTTTCCTGTTTCTGACAATTTTTTAAACCTCTGACCAATTATGATACATGTGAGTAACATGGCTCAATTTTTCCTAAAAGAGTCTATCTTACACAATATATCTTTCACAGTAACAGATCCTCTTTGGTGTGCAATGATTTTGGGTGGTACTTAGCTCAATTGTGAATTTTCCTACCCAATGAAACACAAAGAAGAATGCACTTTTCAATTAAGAAGTGGACTCCAGGTCACATCAAACCACAGACATACGAGTTTTTAGGGATTTAGAACTTGGTTTGTTTTTTTCTCAATAATCAAAGTTGGAAAGTTAGATAACCTAGACATTCATAGCATGTTGTTTGATGGTAATTCTAAGTAAATTTAGGAGCTGGAAGCAGGAGGAAGGAAAAACAGTGACACATAATGAACCTGTTGAGCACAAATTAATAATTTGTATGTATCATTTAAGAAATCATACATGAATTTACCAGAGAAGAAATAATATTAAGCCTGAAGACCACACTGACATATTTTCCATATAACTACTTATAGAACATTTTCCATAAAACCCTGAGGGCTTCAAAACTACTATAAGGTGAACAATAGTTTTTGGTTTTAAAGCTATGTAACACCATTCCCATTCAAAATGTTTTGGCTATGAATTAATTTGCAACTGATTTATCATGTTTTACATTTAGATTCCAAGATAAAAAGTAAGTAGAAGAAATGACTTCTACAAAATATTGTTCAATCATTGTCTTTTTACTTTTAATTAGGAACAATTTTAATTAAGTAAACATAGGAATTAAATTTGTGATTTTCATTTAAAGAAGGCCAGATTCAAGTACCATTAAAAACTCTTGTAGTTTTATTACAGTGGGAATTTACTCAATGCCCTAAATTTGTACCTAATCTTTCAACTGAAGAATCAGTTACAGCAAATTCAAAACAACAGCCATTTGACACTCAGGAAAAGGCTATAGCTCATGTACAATACATGATTTTCCTTCATGATGAATATTTACCATTCCTCACTGAAAACAGTAAAAAATCCTCTAAAATTGACATGTAGGACCAGGAAATATTGTAGTATGGGAAGTAGGGGAGTCTTACGAAAGAAAGCAGACAGCTCTCTTGAAGAAATCACTGACACCATCTGCTCAGAAATTATATCTAAATGATTTATTAGTTCCTTCTTTCATGCTTATCTGTGCATTCCATGACTAGCCTGCATAATTTTAAAATGCCAGAATTTCTGTAAATCCTTTCATCTGTTCTCTGCCTGGTTTTTGATAATACTAAAAGGCTGAATATCCAGAATTTGTATTTATGATTCATAAGTCTCATGAAAAAAGACAGTAGAGAAGAAGAGACGACTCCTCCAAGCACCTCAGACAAACTTGGAAGTGTGGGCTCATGCATCACAGATGCCAGAGAATCCACACCCAAGAAAGGTCTAGCTGTAGAAAACTGTTTCAGTTGGCTGGAAATCCATTTGTTCAGTTCTGGTATTCATGCTGTAATCTTGTTCTCTTTAGGTATAACTTGTTCTTCCCAGCTGAACCTGATTTCAATGGAAAATGCTGTGCCAAATGTAGTACTGGATCCATCTGTGGTATTACACCAGGAGATGAACTGCTGCATATTCTGAAGCAGCACCTGTAATGATGCAGGTGCAGTAGGGGAGGTTTGGTAGCAATCCAAAGTATCTCAAAAGGTCAATCAGGACTTTTTAGGTAGTGATAAGATTCAAAGATGGGCAGATAGGCTTGACCTATATGGCACAGGGGAAAAACAGGCAACGTGAAAAGGATGCACCAGACCACCTGCAATGGTCAGTATCAAAGAAAAGTCAAACCCACCTATCCTCTCCCTATTCCATGTAAACTGGTTCAATTTAGTATTACAGTAACAGGACAATTATAGCACCTAATGTCGTGTGCAAATGATCTGCTGAGGTTTTATTCAGATAAGCTGTTTCTGTTTATCAGTTTGCATATCTTAAAAGAGCCTATTCTCTTAGTGTCAGTATGATTTATACATGTGTACCTAGCTGCATTAACAATATCCCACAAGGCTAACACTGTTTCCCCCAACAATATTCAACACTTAAGACAGGCAGTCACTCACTCCTTTTAAGATTATAGGCAATTGTTTTGCTGGAAGATATTTCACTATATCAAGACAGACTCAAGAACAAACAGTTCCACATCCTTTCCTCTCCTCCCATCTCTAAAAACCTGACACAGCCAAAACACAATTCTTCCTGGACAGCTCTGCTGAAGGACAAGGAGTAGCTATAATGATGAAAAAAGTGAAATCATTGGCATAGTCCTAGTTACATGAGGGGGGGAAATTAATCACTTATATGTTTATGGTGTACAATAGAGCAATTGAAGAAAATAATACTTTCAGAAAATAGGAGCTCCATAGCATTGAGGTTGTATTGGGAAGCAAGAGAGACAAAGTGTGAATGCTTTAGCTACAGCAAATAGCTATTTTTTAGAAATGTCTGCACCAAACCAAACACAAGCAACAAGAAGTCGTCTTTCTCAAAGTTCTCCTGAGATGACAATGGTCCTTGATCCATGATGCTAGAATAGTCATATTTTCTACTAGTAAAAGATCTTCCTGATTTTACAGGTTACAAGCCCCGAATCACTCAAAGACCTTGATTTAGCTTTTACAGAGCTATTCTCAAATAAACTAATGTGATTTCAAAGCAAACCAGAACCTTTTGAACAAAGTGTGACTTTATGGACATTTACATACTTCTGTTATAGAAGTTTGCCTTCATTATGATCTGTGACTCAAGACTTCTCTTCAGATTCAGGAAAGAAAATACTAAATTCCCTGCAAAGTCATTAATGCTCATTGTATGCAGTCTATTTGTCAATGGATCGTTTCTGATATCAAATCACACTCATTTTAGTCTCAGTGTAAATTTGCAAATGTGAGCTGCCCACATGCTAGGTATAAATATCCATTTTCAGGTATGGCTTCAAACACTTATCTATGAGTAATTTTGACTGAACTACTCAAATGACTGTACTTCCACATGAACTACTCAAATGACTGTACTTCCACATGTGTCTGTGCGAAAGCTGACAGGATGAGCACGTGTATTTTTACGATGTGAGTTGTCTGTGATGAAGACGTTGAATAAAACCAGTAATTAATTCAGCAATTAAAATGTAAAACTCGAGTCAGCATTTTGATGCTGTTCCTGACTCTCTCCCTGACTTGCATTATTATTTTGTGCAATAAGTTGGCACGATTCCGCAAATTCTTTTACTTATGCAAACTACCACAAACAACTGTATACAGGGTAATACAGCTTTATTTGCTTAAATTACTAAAACCCGACGCTTTTACTGTTTCTGTGACTACACACGCTGCTATGACCAACAGAATTATTCTGCCAGCGTGCTGTTACAATACAGAGAGTTTAAGAGCGCACTTAGTACTAACCACTCCCCAAGCAAAAGCATCAGTGCGTACAGGGGAACGAAAAGGAAGGCAGAAAGACTGCGATTCCTGCCCAGAGCAATTCCTCCCAACTGCTTTGCCTCTGTGGCTCTCCTTGACTCAAACTCTGTCTCTCAGCCGCCAATACTCACAGAACAACCTCCTTTTCCTACCGGCGCCTGACCACCCACTGAGGTGCTGAGAAGCCTCAGCGGGAAGACACACCTGAGGAAGGATGAGAGGCAAGAAGAGAAAGAACAGAGCTCGGGGCCTCTGGGTGGCCCTGCCCGCGCCCATGACAGACGCCGGCAGGAGCCGACTGTCCGTCTGTTCTGCATTCCCAGCGGGAGCCGCGCTCTCCGCTCCCTGCCGGAGCCTTCCGAGCAGCAGCCGGGCGGGACGGCGAGCCCGAGCCGCCCCAGAAGCACCGGCCTGCGAGGAACCGACACGCTGGAGGCGGATTCCCCCGCCGAGCCTCCGGCAGAGCCGGGAGGGCGCCGGGAAGCCGCCGGAGAGCTCCCACTAAAGGGGCTGCCCAGGGAAGCCGCAGGCGCGACGGAGACACGTGGCGCTCCTCAGCCGCTACTGCGGGGAGGATGAGCCAGCTCTAGCCGACACAACTCCCTCCCCCGCGCTGCCGCCGCGCCAAGGCGCCAGCCATGTTCCCGCATCGCCCCCACCTCAGGCGGCAGGGCAGGAGAGGGGGAAGGGGAAGGCAGGCGGGGGGCGGTGCCGGGACTCCCGCCCCGCCGGGACCGCGCCGCCGCCCCCTCCCACCTGCCCGCGCCCCGCGAGCGCCTCCGCCCCGCCCGCAGCGCTCGCGGCGCCAGCTCGGCCGCTCATTGGCCGCGCCGCCCGCCCGTCACCGCCGCTCCCGCAGGGCTGAGGGGGCGGGACCGCGCCGCGCTCTTAGCGGCGCGCGGGGAGGGCGCGGCGGCGGGGCAGAGCGGGGGGTGGCGGGGTGCGGGAGCTTGAGTGCTGCTGTTTTTCTTGCTCCAGGTTTTTTTTTCCCGGGCTTTTTGCACACAGTCGCTCCCTTCCCTCAGGTTTTCTGCAGAGATTTACCTGTCGGTAGCCACACACCTGCACCTGGCTGTTCGGGCTCTTTTCCCGCAGAGGCCGAGCGCTCGGTCCAGCGGAGCGGGGGCAGACCCCGGCGGCCAGGGGCTCCCTCAGCGACCGCGCTCCGCCTCGCCCGCCGGTGCCTCTCCTGCAGAGCCATGGATCACCAGCCCAAGTTCTTCGAGAACCTCTCGGGCGCCGGGAAGGCCATCGCGGTGCTGACCAGCGGCGGCGATGCCCAAGGTAGCGGCTCACACCGTTTACTCCGGGAGCACGGGGAGGACGAGGGAAGGAGCCGATGGGAAAGGAAAGCGGCGGGGAGCTGCGGACACTGTGGGGAGTTGGACAGCAGCAGGAGATGGCGAGGAGCCCCTCGAGGGCGGTGTGAGGGGCAGGAAGGAAGGGCCTCCCCTCCTGGCTGGGCGCCCATGCGGGAGGCCGGGGAAACAGCGTGGGCAGCTTCAGGGCTGGTGTTGGGAAGCCACGGTGCGGCACATGGAGTGGAGAGAGGGCTCTGGGAGCGATTCACAGGGGATTGCAGTGGTGCTCGGGTTCTTCTTTCCGTGCTGGCCTTCGACCCGGCTTTCCTACTAAGCGCATTTAAAAGATAAATAATTTCTGTACGGCTTGGGCGCTTGAGGTTCAAACGTCCCCTCGCCCCTTCCTTCCCCTCTCCCTTCCTCGCCACGTTTGCTCTGCCCCAGGCTGAGCAAGGGAGAGGGTAGAAACACTGCAGTAACTTTTACTACCAAGATGTCTCGTTCCCTCGAGAGATGGTGGGGTGAGGAGGGATGGCTGATGCGGGAGGGGGAGGAGGAGGTCGTGCTGCCCGGCACGGCGGGCGGGAGGCTTGGCTGCGCTGCTGGGGCTCTGCCAGCCCTCGCCTCATCTGCTTTTCACTTCGTTTTAGCACCAGCAACACGTTTACGCTCCTACCCGTGGTTTAGAACGCTCAGATGGTGGTTTACTCTTCCCCCGTAAGAGTATATTAAAAACGTGTCTTGCCTTCTTAAATCTCTTCAGTGTAGAGGAAGTCGTAGCTGCTACAGGACAGGGCAAACAAAAGACCTAGAGACATTAAGAGGGATGGCAAAGAAGAGAGGCTTGATCACAATATACCTAGTCAAGAATCCATTTTTTTCTACACTTTAGTTTCCGCTTTCCTTCCAGAAAATCATGATGGGTCCTTTCCAACTCGGCATGTTCTGTGATTCTATGGTTTGAAGTTTCAGTTAATTAAGATTTCAAACCCGCAATGCTCCGCGCAGTTCGAGAGGGCTCTTGCTCTCCTATACCAGGAGAGTTATTCAGTGATAATTGCTTTTAGAACCTTCTCTTAATTTACGGTTATTTTTTTATTTTTCCCCGGGAGTGTCTCGAGAGTACTTTCACTTAAAGAAGAAGCGGCACTCATTCGCGTTTGTGAACAGAATGGGAGGTGGGAGCCTCTCCTTCTTTTCTGCGTGCGCTCTGTGGTTTAGGGACCAGTCTCTCCCCAGATTTTACACGGGGAGCTGCCGGGACCAGCCCGCGGCCGGGGCAGCCTCCCCTCTTCCTGGCCGGGTTCCCCGGCGCGTCCATGCGGTGGTAGCTTGCATGGACCAGTGTCTTCGTTCTCCCTCCCTCCCTCCGCCGGTGTGTACGTGATCCGCTGCGAGTCGCTGCAGATTCCGCCTCTTTGCGTCATATGGGCTGGGAGAAGCATCCTCCCTCCCCCTACCCGCAGGAATAACGGGGAGCCCCCGGGTTTACCTAGGATTATCCGAAACTCTAATCGGGATGAAAGGGATTTGTTGCCATCGAGGAGAAAAATGTTGCAGTTCTCGAGAAAAAAAAAAAAAAAATCGATGCGTTTAAATGGCTTCTCTTTTACCCCTCGGTGGGGCTACACTTCAAGTTTTATCCAGTTTGCCCTCAGTGACATAAATTCCACTGCTCTATGATTCTAGGAGGAACTGAGAATCAGAAAATCTCTGTCTTAATGGTCTGGTGGCCAAATCGCCATTTTAATTTAAAAGTGTGGCAGGGCACTGCCTGAAGCAGCAGTAACATGCTCAGCAAGAGGCTGAGCCCTGCAACTTGCTTCCGTGTGGCTGGAGATTATATAATGCAGCAGCAGATGCATCTCCTTTTATAAAGTATTAATCTGCACTTGCTACTGTGTGAATTAAGGCATTTGAAGGACTTGTGGAATCCATGGGTAACATCTAGACTTTGCATCTGGCAGATTGCCACAGAAGCATGGAGGGTTCCAAAGTAACAGCCTGTGAAAGTTGCTGTCTAAGGAGTGGGGCTGTCACAAAGACCAAAAAAAGTAAACTTCCTGCAAGAAGCAGGACTTGGATGCCTTCCAAGCTGTTTCATTGGCAGCATTGTTGTCCCAGCTTTGAAGAACAAGGAAATAAAACCCCCAGCGTTTTAGAACATGATCATTTAATCTGAATCACACAACACAGTGTGTGACCATATCCCCTTACTATCTTGGTAAGAGCAGAGATGTTTAAAATAAGCTGCCTCAAGTAATTTTGAAGGTTAGAAGTTAAACAAGGGACGCAATGAGTCATGCCCTGTCAAGGTCATTTGCCCTTTGGAGGACAAAGTGCAAATGTGTGAGAGAAGTGAAGTCCTGAAGTACACGCAGAAGGAAATAACGCTGCTATTACTGCTATTTGGAAACAAGCTATTCAAGCAAAGTGTAGGTGAGGCAAAGCTGCTGACTCAGAAGTAGGCAAAAAAATTGTAGTATTAGGAAAAAAGTTCCAGTCTTTCGTTTTGTTTTGTTTTACATTTGTCAGACACTAAAAGTCTTCAAACTATCTGTAATCCAAACTGAACTCACAAACAACTGAGTAGAAAAAACACCTGTTAAACATAAAATCGTAATAGGTGCCAGTATTTAGATTGGTCTGTAAGTCTGAGCATAGAATGAAATATATGTGAAATTATTTTAAAGTGAAGTTACTCACTTTGCTGTTATTTTTACTTCTAATAATTTAAAAGTAGTTTTATGTAAATTACACAAGGCTTTCTATTTATAGGGAATGTTAACTTTTCAGTTACTTCCCTGCATTGGTGGTACTTCCTTGAAAGTTTCATTTTTCTTTTTTGTTTTTCTACCTGTGGAATTTCAGAAACAATAGAATATATATGTGTCATACTGGACTTTTTTTTTGTGGATTTAAAAGAATTTATCAGTGATATGTTTCACAGGAAAAAAGTTCTCTATTTAGTACACTTAATATGTGTAAGTACTGAACTTGACAGTCTATCATTTCAGCTAGCCAGGTGTTAAATTGTGAACTAAAAATGTGCTTTCCACCATAATCACAAGTACCTTGAGAGGCAAAAAAAGTTCTGACAATCAATTCTCAATATTTATGGGTTGGTTCACTTTCTGGACTATTTCTAAATTGTACTGGTTGCAGCTCAGGAAGGTGGTTTAATAAATGGCGTTTAATAAGTCACTCGTCTCACTTTGTGGCATTCTCTTGCCATTCTGCTTCAGGTCATGAAGTACACTGGTTGAATTTTCTGTGGGTTGCCAGTGGCTGCCGCAGACAGTTTTGGCCACCATAGGTCACTGACGTTCACACAGCCTCCAAACAACCTATTCCGGGAGCGTGGTAGGTACGGCTCGGCAGCAGGAAGAGTCATCGGGAAGCTGCTGACAGGTGGTTGTGCGCTCCTGGGGAAGGATGTGTTTGTGGCTACAGAGCCACTGCCCAGACAACTGACTCAAGATCATTGTCTTTGAATAGGACCATGTTGTTTTTCAGATAAACTCAAAGATCTGGTGTTGAGGAGGACAGCAGAAGTAAGGGATGTAATGGCCCGGAATACCATAGCCCATCCTGCTTAAGTAAGCAGCTACATGTCTCTACGTTCAAAGCATTCCAGGCTTCGCAAAGTTCCAAGGCTTAGTTAGCAGTACAGATATACAACTCTTGTCCTGGTGACACAGACTAGAAGAAGAAATTTTGGTGCTGAGCAAATGAAAAAGCTCAACTCCTTCAGCAAATGCTGGGTTTAAAAACAGCTTGAAAAGAACTCTAAAGAAACCTTTTGGATTCCAGTGTTTTGGAATATCAGACAGACCATGACTGTGGTGGGTGCAAAGATTTACATATTTATCCTCCTGAAGCATTAATGGCTGAGGAACATCATAAGGCATATTTAATATAGTAGTGTGAGTGTATGTGATCTTGTCCTGGTAGCAAAGTTTCTTTTTCCACCATAAGCTTCTCAACTAATGCAGTAAATAAAATAAATATTTTTTTTAAAAAAAGTCACAAAATAAATGTGAATAATGTGTAAATAAATGCTTTTCTTATGTCATCCAGAATAGAGTTTACTTGTTAACACTTATGTAATTTGAACACGATCACAAGGAATTTTTGAGTTCTAGCCCCCCCCCCAAAAGGCACCTTTTCCAGCTAAGAACAGTGACTGCAAATAGACACATATATGAAATACATTTATGTGTCTGTAGATACAATGTTATAAGTACTATTTGTACGTAAAATTAAGGAATGTAGTTATTAATGGATTAGTGTGACTATTTCAATGCATAAAATATTTTTGAGACACTGCTTCTATAATTATTCAATGATTGAAACTGGTCTCTTAAGATTTTTATTTTAATTTTTAAGAAGGAGGTATGTTTACCATCTAGGTGTTCTGCTGCTGAATATATTTGTACAGTAGAATGTTCTGATCTAATACAGTTAGTGTTTAGAAAAATTGTGTAATGTTTTCTTCAGGTATCTAGAATAATTACTGTGATTATATGCAATAAAATGTGATGTAATTAAAAGTAAACGGAACAAATTCAAGTTGTATTTTTAATTACTTGTTCAATACTTGTATTTGACTGCTTCTCTTTTGATGATTATAGGCTCTCACTGACATAACCATTTACATATTTAAATAAAGTCTTCCTGTTTGGTGATGTTTAGACATTTCCCTTAGTGATGTTTGCTATATAGTCTTTTAAGTCTGAATCTTTATTCAGGGTAGCACTGAAACATATGTGCTAAGTCATTATGCCTGTGTTAAAGCCAATGTTTATCTTTAAAATTGGTGGTACTTAAGTATTTCTTGATGCTTGTCCAAGATGCATAGTTTTGATTTTGCTTTTGAATGGTTTATGTTACAGTTACTTATTTGAAGGCATGTCTAGCTGGCTAAAGCAAGGCAAACTTGGCTTAAACACAAACTCGTGTAGAACTTCCTATGTTGTAGTGGTACATAAGTACGTGGACAAGGATGTAGGCACAAGAGAGGGCTACTCTTTTAGAGGCAGAGAGTCTCTGAAATAATTGAAAAATCTCTGCAGTATTGTTTGTAACCCTGTTACAAAAACCAAGTGCTTCTTTTAAGGACAATTGAATAAACAAGATCAAGGACAATAAATTATCAATTTTTAAGTTAATTCAGATGTTATGTAAAGCCCTAAAAGTAGTTGTATTTCCCTTAATCTTTGCTGACTCCGAAAGACCAAAATAAATATTTCCCTCTTTCCAAGTCTTTAATGCAAAAGCAACTTGTAATTCAGAAACATTTTAAATAATTCTTAAATTATTTTTTTAAAATACTGGTTTTACTTGTGGCTTTCTTTTGAAGCTGTTATTCTAATCCTGTATGTTTATCAAACTCCATTTATTATTCATGCCTAAATCTGCAGTTAACCTGGTAAATCTCTTTTAAAGCAATAAGCATGAGTAATAACATTTCATGGTTATTATGGTAATTCACAAATACTTTTGTAAGACTCCACAAATAATGAAATTTTATTAGACAATCCTACAGAGGCTTAGTGAAATTTTTGTGTGCTTTTTCTCGAATTACTGCAATTTAGACATCCACATTGTAGAAGTCTAAAGCTGTAATGTGCTAGCTGTATTTTGTAAGTGTCAAATTCTAACATCCTTTAGTCCTCAGCCCTTCTGAAATGTAAGCCAGGAGCCTGCCAGTAGACAACCAAGTCCTTTTTCTGTATAAGGAGATAAAATATGCAACACAAAATAACAATAAAATGTAGGTTATGCAAACTTACAACAAAGCTGCAGTGGTCGTATTGGGAAGATGCTGTCTGTACTCTGTTGGACTTTTTTTCCTGGGTTTTTGCCTTTTCATGGAGCAGGCAAATAGTCAATTTTACCTATTTTTCCTGCAAGAAACATGGAAACTGGAAGGTATTTACTAATGAAGTATGTGGCTGTATTAAGAATTTATATACAAACTTTCCTCAAACAAACCAAACCAGACAACAGCAGCTCCCCTCCAAAAAAAAACCCCAAAAGCCAAGACAGAACTGCCAAAAAACCTCCGTACCAAGCAACAACAACAAAAAAGCCTCCCACACAGTATGTGCTTTAATAGAAGCAAGCTGTGGGCTTTGGTGAAAGGAGTACCTTGTTCTGAGTGTTCCTGTTTGTGGAAAATGGCAGTGCTGTGCTGAACTGTCAGTTTGGTAAAATTAAAGGTCTTTGTCTCTGAGGGGTGTTAATTTTTGTTATGAAAACTGTTTCACTGGGGAGATAACTTCGCTCTGTTATTCTGAGATTTATCATGCGAACTTTCTTTTCATTACAGACTGTCAGATGAGATTCTCTGTTTTTCTTTGGCATCACCCAAAGTTCTTTGTGTAAAGCTGTGCCTTTAGCTGTTTTGGCATTTGAAAACTTTTCCCAGCTATGCCACAAGGCTGACTCTGGCTGAAAGAGTTCTTGCTACAATTTCCTAAAACAGAACTTAGGTGAAAACACTGTTACCTGTGTTTTTTGTTTTAAGTGTAAGTGACATCTACACAAACAGCAAAAGCAACTGTTTAATTTTGGCAAACTTAATTTTTTTTGTTTCATGTTGAGCAACATCAGGGACTTTCTGGTGTGTTCATAAGTAATGCATCTTTGAGAAAACCTCAGCCTGATTCTTCAGAGAGGTTGACCTTTACAGCTCAGTATTTCTTGCAGTAAAGATAGGTACTGTAGGATTACATCTTTTTGACTTGCTGTGTTGTTTATATATTCTAGTTATCAGCTTTTTATATCTCCAGGGAGGTGAACACTTAACATCCACGTCAAGCAGCAGAGCTTACCTACTACTTGTCTGTTTTGATACTAAATGCACCAGATTTTGAGAATTTGTGCATAGTACTTGGACTTGTCATCCTTCTTGCATCCGTTTTTTACTGATGTGCCAAGATTATCAACTATAGCCTAACTGCTTCTCTCATCCTGCTTTGTGTGATCTCTTATGTTTGTTTTAGTGGTGTGGATGCAATTAGTTGATTAGTTTTGGAAAGTTCCTGAATAATGGGTAAGGTAATGCAGTGTCTGAAGGGATGAATTAGAAATTCCTTTGCCCTGTGTAGAGGGACCAGTGGAACTTCCACTGTGGCTCAGGAAGTTGTGTTTGACTGTGGGACTTAAATGGAAGATTTTGCAGCAGTATAATTTGTCAGACGTCTGTGAGCAGGGAATTCCAATCAGAGCTTGCATTTTTGGGACTAAAGTGGTGTTCAGATGTTTTTCTGTCAAATGAGTCAATGTAGCATTATTTATGATAATTTACTGCTACTTTTGTCTTTTTAAATAACCATCTGTCTAGGTCAATTTCGGCTCTGCTCCCCTCAAAATGCTGTATATACACCTGTGTTATTTTGGAAATCCCAGAAAAACTGTTATAATTTCTCATCTGAAGAAGCTACATTTTAACTTTCTGAATGTTTTGCATTTCAGACTGAAAACTAACCATTACTGCAAAATTAATTTACTTTGTTGTTCAGTAGATGTAACTTCTACAATGCTATTTTGCAGTCAGCAGCAATTTAATCTCTGATTAACACACACACTGGCATTCACATAATTATTGTAACAAAGAATAGTTCTGAACCCTTCATGCTCATGGGCTCTTTGCACTGTCATTAAGCAAATTTTTGTTTTAATGGATGCTGGTCATTGTCTTTCTTTAGGAATGAATTAATGTTCCCTTTATTTTCAAGACACTGAAAACTTTTGGTATACGTAAAATGCTGGATGACTATAACAATGTGATTTTGCTTTTTCTTCCCAGGTATGAATGCTGCTGTGCGCGCAGTAGTACGCATGGGAATCTATGTAAATGCCAAAGTCTATTTTATTTATGAGGTTAGTTTTTGTTTCATTCATTCTGTATTTTGTCTTCTAACTAAACTTGAGTTTTTGTAGAAACACCATGGAGAGTAAATAGTATGAATTAAAAAACGCTGTAGGTGCCATCCCTTTTCATTGTGTGTTTTATTTACTACTTTTCATTTTTATGGAAATTTACATGTCACAAGTATATTCTAAAACTATTTAATTTAAAAGTAATTTCTTAAATATATGGAATTCTTTATGTGCCACCAAAGACTTGAAAGCAAAGAAAACCAGAGGTGGTTGTCACCCTGCAGTGAGCTACAGATCTGTACACTTGTTGGATGTTTGGCCCCACTTACTGTACTTCGTAAATGTTTTCCTAAACCTGGTTAAACTACTGATTCTTAATCCTTTACTCCATTTTCCTAGAGTATGATAAGGATGTATCCTCACCCTCATTTCACAGCTTGATTTTGATAAAGAGTACAGTGGCACTGCTGCCATCTTGCCTTGGCTTGTAGGTAGAAAGCTGCAACTGAAGAAACTCAACCAACAAAGAAAAGAAAAGCCGCATCAAAAACTTGACCATCATTGGTCTGTCCTGACGTCAGAATTTTGTGACTGAAATTTGTAACTGTATGTGCAGAAAGATTGTAAGTTTCTATAGTAGTTCTACAATAAGAAAGAGAGATGGGACAAGTTTAATCTCAGTGCTGTGGTGATGCTCCATGTACTTGACTTCCTGCAAGAAGCAGTTTGACGTCCTTATAAAGGATGCTTTCAGGTTTTATACAGTTTCTGTACATTAAACAATACAGTAAATATATTGATTCCGTTCCCACTGGAACTCCTGTCCAGCTCATTAGTAGTTTGAGACTATTACAAATCATAATAAAAAACTGATATGGGGGAAAGCTTGGTAGGTACCAAGTAAAGTCTAACTTTAATATAAAAATATGGAGTACTAGAATTCATAGAAGTGCTCAGAAAATACTTTTAGTTTTGTGCATGGCAAATACAGAATTTATCTTTAAAAAGTGGCTGTTTATCCATTTTTTTCCCTGTCTGCCTGTTCCGATAGCTCATTTACTAATGAGATGCAGAGTATATTGAAATGCAAATAAGCAGAGGACTGTGCTCCAAAATTCTTTCCTACTGTGCTAACAGCAAGTTGCTCTGAATACTTAGTGTGTGCTAATTACATGGCCAATCTCTGGAATTCCTTCAGTGTTCAGCTGTTTTGCAGGCTCACTGAAATGGGTCAGATACTTCTCTGGAAGTAAGAAGGGAGTTTTGGACATCTTTAAGGCCAGAAATTGGATTTGAATTTATTTTTTAATTAATCTTAAGTCAAGAATTGCCATATTTTTTCACCTTTTAAACATATTTGGTATCACAGAGTGATAAATTTCAAGAGAAATTTGAATATTTGATTTTTCTGAACTTACCAAAATAGCACTGTTTAAGTTAGCATGTGTTCCTGTGTTTGGTAGAGCTGGTCAGTGTGAAGTCACAGATATTTCTGAATGAAAAGTGATTGTAAAAAATAAAGCAGTGTTGGGAATTTTGAGTTTACCCATATATATTGTCCATCTTCAGTGTAACAGTAGGGTCTGGGGAGAAATGCACATTTCACTGCAAGTATGGGCTGTGAAAAAGATCTTTGCTTCTAGATTAGGCCGTTCAGTTCTGTGTTTTGTAAAGTATCAAACGCTTAGCTTCTTCTCTGACTGGTGATAATTGAAATAAGTAGTCACTTTTCTTTCACAATGCCTACAAGTACTTAAGAGAAACAGGGTTGCAAGCATTGAAATGAAAAAGCTGTTTAATTTTACGCCTTTGAAATGGGAAACAGATGAAGGTGAAAAGTGTAATTGAGGTAAAAATCTTCTAAGACTTGTCACTAGTATTCCTTGCTAAAAGCCTTGGTGTGATGTATAAAGATGTATAAGGAGGAGATGTATTTTTGGGTATAGTTTGAGTTATTTAATAAGATGTTCCTTCTGAGTTACAGTTTATTGAATGTAACTTGAGTGTGTTAAGCAAAGAGAAGACTGTATCTTAAGCCTACTTTTTGGGCATTTTAACATGTAGCTCAGGATAAAGTGATATTTGTATTGAAGTTGCTCTGAAAAAGTGAAGGAAAAACCTGAAGTGACAATATCCAAGAGGAAAAAAACTGTTCTTGTTTGGTTCCAAAAATCGAGTTTTAAAGGTCTCAGCCTTTTCAAGCTTACTTTGCTGAAGTCATCATACGCTCTGTTTCTCCTGTAGCTATGTCTGTCATATGAACTTTCTTGCACTGCAAAACCATCTGTCTTCTACAACTGTGGCCAGCACTAGTTTCATATTCTAAGATAGTGACTCTGTTTTCCAACTCCATTTTTCTTCATCTTGTGATGAGAGATTATCAAGATAAATGAATTAAAATTGAGAATGAATTAGATCTAAGTAATTTTCTAGCCTTGTTTAAACTGGTTTCATGAAAACCCAAAGAAAGAAACATTTAGATACTGGAATTCATGGCCTGTTTGGACTTCAAGTCCCGAAAGGGAAAAAAGAGTAAACTCATGTAAAAATAAAAACTAGAAGATAATTTATATAAAAGGTATAATTAGTTACATATCTTTTGTATAGTTTATATAAAACCTGTGAATTTATAGGTATAAAATGAAAATCCTATAAAATTAATACCCCTTGTGTATCTTAATTCACTAAAGTTAGTGCATTTCAAAATTCTGCTATTAACTGCAAATCTATACAGTTTGCTAGCTTCACAGTTTCATATTTTATATTTTATTTTAGTCTGTAGTTACCCTTCTTGACTATCATTTCATTATTCCTCAAATGTAGTCCAGTCTGAATTACAATTTAAATACCCATGGATTAATTTCACTCATGATATGAAAATCTAGGGGCTGGAAGAATGTGTAGAGTATCAGGCTGCTCTAGGGGGCTAGTTTAATTTTTTTTCACTAATCAGAAGCTATTAAAGTCAGGTTGATTTTTCTTTTGTCTTTTTCCTTTTTAATTGAAAGCAGGAGGAAAAAGTGATGACTCTCATTTATGGCAACTCATTTTAGAAACTTGAGGTCTTAAATATTTATACAAATAACCTGCCGTTTTTCCAGGGTTGAAGCATATAGTTCCCAGTGGATGCATGCTCTTGCTACTAAGCTATGGAGCTTTTAGATTCTTCATCTTGATTAAGAGTCTTTTTCTCAAGAGGCCGTCATTGGGAATGCAGTGGTATGGCACTCACGGATTTCTGTGAGGAAAACTTCATGTCTTTTCTGTAGTGGTTTGTGCACTCAGTGACAATAGTATTTTATATTGTTGAGCAATGGCTAAGACATTTCAGTAAGTAAATTCATGTAACTGTTAAAGCCCCAAATGTCTCACATGTAACACATCAGAAGTTGGCTTGTTCTTTTTCCAAGGCTTTTGTCTTCAGAGTTCAGGCTGGAAGCCACGTTTGCTCCTGCCGTGCTCTCCTGGAGTTGCGGTGTCTGTGAATGTATCTTGTGAACATTGGACCCACAGATATTTATTCTTATTCTTTGGATATTTAGATTTTGAGTACATGAGGACTAAACATAAAATGGAGCTGATCTTAATGAACTGTGCTTGCTGGTTTTTTGACAGCTTATTTTTTCCATTCTTGCCCCACATTTACAGTATCTCAGTACCCAAGCTCCTATATTTTTAGGTCTAAGTAAGAATTTACTTTTTTAATTAACAGATTCCCACTCTCATATTAAGGTCAGTAGTCACATCTGCCAGTGATTTTCAGTAACCATACAGTTGGAACAGCGGTGAACCTTCAAACATATATTGTCCAGTCCTCATCAGTGTTTACATAACTAAAACAATAAATGGAAATCATCATAATTAATACTTCAACTGTAATTAGCAATTAATTTTTTTTCCCCCAACAGCTTTTCTAGAAACCTGTTTTAATTCTATAACTTGTATCTTTTAATGGTGTGGAAAACAATGTGACAGTTCTACCTTATTCAGAGATAGTGTACACATACTTGGCAGACAACTGAATTAGGAAAAGTTAGTATAACAGTTCAGACAGATCATGATTCCAAAGGTTCCCTGCACTTACCTTGTTGTGGAAGGAATTGTTAATACATCCCCTGTTCCTGCTTGTCTGCACAGATACAGATTCCTGACCAAAATGCACAAGTTCTTTCTACTTCACAGAAACATGGTGCAGAAATGGGTCATAGCTCATCCTTAGCCTAGCTGTGAGATGTTTCATGTCTTACAGACAACTTAAGCTACTATTTTATTTATTTGGTTTTTTCTGTGTTTTAGATTTATTAATCTGATAACTGGGAATTTTATTCCATCAATCTTATTTATGTATATATTTCCTATATATAATACTTCTTTGGATGCGCTTTTGTTTTTCCTCTGAAGTTAAAATGGAAGGTGAATGACTTGAGCATACGTGAACTGTATATATTGTATATATTTTTGTCAGCTCTCAGTGCAGCTTACTGTAGTTACACACTGAATTAAGATGTGACATTACACTATGCTTTCAGGATTTATTGCCAGTGGATCTCTTGAGTTATTGTAGTTGTCAGTAGAAATATGTACAGGAAAAGCTATCACTCCATTACTGACTAATATAAGGAACATAGAATTCTATGTTTAAAACAAAAGCAAACCAGCAAAGCTGGTGATGAATGAACTTAGTAATTTATTAGCCATCATCAAGCTTAGTTGTATCCTCTGTAATGTTTCTTTCTGAGGATCTTCGCACTTTATCTGAGGGAGAAATTTTTCTTAAAGTTGCTATATGGATTTAGCATTATTCCTTTTCCACTTTGCTCTAATTTTGAGCAAACTTTACATTATTTTGTAAATAATGGCTTAACTCTTGAAGTCACTGTGTGTATACATTAGCATACAAAGAGTGTATCTGGTATGTAGGTGCCCACAAGGGAGCTGGGAAGATAGTTCACCAGGAGCTGTAGTGATGGGACAAGGAGTAATGGGGTCAAACTGAAAGACTGGAAATGTAGGTTAAATATATGGAGGAAATTCTTTACTGTGAGAATGGTGAGTCACTGGAACAGGTTTCCCAGAGGAGATGTGGATGCCCCAGCCCTGGCAGTGTTCCAGGCCAGGTTGGATGGGGCATTAGGCAACTTGTCATAGTGGGAGATGTCCCTGCTGATGGCTGGGGAATCAGAAGTTGATGATCTTTTAAGGTCCCATTGACCCTATGCCATTCTATGTGTATACATTAGATACATATCAAAGTTATTTAGAGAGTATATAAAGTATTGAAAAGGTCTGTTGGATGGCAGAAATTAGAGACGTAAGTAGTTTTCCATATAGATGTTTTTTGCTATTGCTTGATCATATTATCTCTAAATTAATCAGTCAAGTCTCACTGAGCAGAAATTTTCATGCTTTCCCCTTGGAATCTTAAAACACCTAATTGAGTAACTTGTACTTTTGCTGTGTCCAGATTATCTTTACATTCTTATTTTCTTGTGCTGGTGAGGACTCAAAGTTTGACATAAAAAAACCCATATGTATGATATGAATACCAAGCTGCTTTAGGCTTTGTATATTTCCAGCTTACTGCTTATTTAGTAAATTCTGCATATACTGTGAATCATGCCAAATTAAATTTCTCCAATTTATAATGTCAGTTTTGCTGTTCTCTGAACACCCTTCTTTTTCTAGTTCCTGACTTATTCTTGAAAAAACTGCACAGAGAAAAATGTTAACTAGTTGTTCCTTGGCATGGGGAATATGTACACATAATCTAAAATGGAGACATAAACATTGTCATGGTTATTCTTTAGTAGTTTTTCTTTTATTTTCTTTAACATGTTATGATTTTCCTTGTGGATTTAAATAAATGTCAAAAAGTTGAATGGTAGTTCTAGTTTTATTCTGGTGTCTGTCAGGGTTTTCCAAACTTAGGACTTGACTGCTTTTCCTTTTCTTTTCTTCTTATTTCTTTTCATTTATTTATTTGTTTCTTTGTTTACTTTTAATCAATGTTGACAATATCACCTAATGGAAAAGAATCTGTAATTGCCATTCAAATAGTATTTTTGTAGAGAGGTAATAAAGCAAAGCCAGGTGGGGTTTTTTTTGTTTGTTTTTTTTTTAACTGCTTGCTAAATAGTTTTTCTTCTTTCAGATAAGTGTAGTTCTTATATTACAGCATGCAGTCGTTTTAGAAGACCATTTAAGTTAAGCTATTAGGAATTTCTTAAATTCGTCACTGAACATATTTTTTCCTATTAAGTACCTTTTATTTATTGTGTGACTGCTTAAAAAAAAAAAAAAAAAAGGTTGTGTCACCTGATTTCTTGTTCTTTCATAAAAAAATTTTGGTTATTACTCTTTATCTTGGTTTGATTATTACCAGCACAGGATGGGCAGGGGGGAATGTACAATGTGCTATAAAGATTTCCTAAGTTCATGGGCCCAGGCTGAGGTTATGTTTTTAAGGAACATATTTTATAATGTCTTTCAAAGTTCTTTGTAGTCTTCAAAAAAAAAAAAACAAAACAAATTGACTATTTATTCTTAAAGAAAAAGCACATTACCATTCTAGTTTAGTAGCTGTGTAATCTGTGTTAATTATTGTCTTATCTTGAAATTGTTTTTGCAATTGATCCTTTTGGGAGGAGGGTTTGTTTTGCTTTATCCCCCCCTTAAAAGAAGCAGTGATACCTGCTTGAATATTGTTTAATTTAAATTGAGTATTTTTTTTTTTATTCAGTGTTTATAATTAAAGCTGTATTAAAGTGCACAAGGTAACTATTACTGTAGTGGAAATTTGATGTAGTTTTTAAAATCAGACTTATGAAATACCTTCCCTTTTACAGGGTTACCAGGGAATGGTTGATGGAGGTGACAATATTGTAGAGGTTTCATGGGAAAGTGTTTCAAGTATCCTGCAAGTGGTAAGTGCTAAGGGGTGAGAGTGGGACCCAAAACTTTCTTATTCAAACAAAAGAAAGAAAATTCTAAATCCAGGCAACCGCTGTAATTATGTATTTGAACTGTGTCATGACCAAATGACCAGCATGTACCACTTCCAGCAGACCCTGATTTCTACAGTGTGGATGGCTGACACTTGCCAAAGATCTTGCTGTGGTCTTGAATTTGGAACCCAGAAGTAATCTTGAAAACCTTTGTTCTAGATTTGCAACATCTCATGTCATTAGCTTCCTAAAGCCATATTGACAAGTCTATATTTAATAAAAAAGGCATTATAGGGCTAAAACATGACCCAGCTCTGTTTTGTAAGGCAAATAATTTCTTACGAAACCCTGTTGTGTTACGCTGTTACCCTTTCTGTGTAAGTGGATGTAGAATTACAGTAACGGGTGTAATTACAGTGCAGTTCTGCAGAGGTCAGATACTGCCAATGACTTAGTACATTTTATTACAACATTCTGCAGTGTGGCCATTTGCATCTCCTCAGCTTTTGCTCAGCATGGTAATGTTGTTACCTCTTCCAGAGCAGGTGCTATGTTTGGCGAAGAGGCCTTACTGCTTGCCAAGCTTTCTGAAAACTACCTCCAGGTGAAGCATGGGTTTCTTTGGAGTTTTTTGTAAAGTTAATGAACATAAAGCAGTTAGCAGAGACAATTTTTTTTTTCTTTTTTTAACTAATGCCCTGGAGTATTGTGAGGTATTCTGTCACCTGTGTTTGGTTGTTTTTATTTTCTTCTTTTTTTCCCCCGTGTCTATCTTAAAGAATCTGTAAATAGAGTCATAGAATATATCAAGTTGATAGGGACTCGTAAGGTTCCTTGAGTCCTAAAAATAAGCAGTATGACTAAGAGCATCATCCAGATGCACCTTTACGATGATGAGAAGATTGAGTTCTCTTGGCCAAGCCACACAAGAGCATAGGCAGGAGCAGGATGTAGGGTCCTATATGTGTGCAGTGTAAAAGAAAAACATCTTTCTGAGCTTAATAGCTGGTAATTCAACAGACCAACAATGAACCTCAGAGTGTATCTTACAGAATGTGTTTAGTTGTTTTGATGAGAAAGGTTTTTCAGCCCACTGTATATTTTTCTTTATTCCGAACAAGCAGCACTTTGTTTCAAGTACAGTTTCTTTTCCTTTTACAGCTGTTCTAAGTATGAAAATACCTAGTTTTAGAGACATTTTTTAGTCCTGATTTTTGTTCTTTTGAGCATCTCTGTGTGTACATGTCTACCTTTTTGTCTGGAGACAGCTGAATTCCGTTCCACTTTCTTTTTCCTTTCCACTAGCAACTATGCAACACAGATGACAAACTGGCCCGAGAGCTGAAACATCTATTGATAGGATAAATCATGTCAGTACAGCCACTGCAGATTTGAAGTTCAAATTTAGATGGATGTCACAGATGTACTATAAGTTGAAGTGAGGGGAATGTTTATGCAAAATAATGATGTAATCATCTCCAGATTTGTTTGCAGGAAAAAAAAAAAAATTCAGTCTTAATTGATACTATTTTTTTACTGTGACAATAAATAAGGGAAAAATTAAACTTCTTGAGTGACTGAACAGCATAAACACAGAAGACGTGTAAATTATATGTGTCCAGCAAGACACCCAGAAATTCTCAGTGATGGAGAAGTTCAATTATTTATAAAAATGACCACCACCATTTCCAAAAGAAGCTTTTTAATTCATATTAATGAATGCAACAGATAATAAAACAGAAAATGTTGTATTAATCTGATCTGTAAGAAATTAAAGGCAGTTATTTCCATAATTCTGTGGAATGACAATGCTAATTTTGAATTTCAGGGATACATTTTTTCTTATTGTTCATGTATCTCTTTGATAATAGGGGGAAAAATACTACACAGAGGCAAATAATTCAAAATGCTTTAGTAGCTATTATATCACTTTTCCTTTTGCCATTAAAGTAACAATGTATTTATTGTAATACTGCTAAAATTAATCCCATGTAATTTAACATTTTCCTTCCAGAGTAGCTCTTTATCAGTCATTTTTCAGTGTTTTTTTTGTTTTTCCATTGTGTGTGTATCTGCTCTCGAACATAAATTCCCACAGGTTTGATAACATTTTGTTTATCATTGCTTTATCTCACTCTAAAATTAAAAGACAGAGGTTGTGCTACAAAATCCTTCGTTAATCCATCTCAGAAATACAAAGTATTGTATCGCATCATTAACTCAAAGTGCTGTTCTTCCCTTTCCTAGGGAGGCACGGTGATCGGCAGCGCGCGCTGCAAATCCTTCCGCACGCGCGAGGGCCGGCTGCAGGCCGCCTTCAACCTGGTGCAGAGAGGGATCACCAACCTCTGCGTGATCGGCGGTGATGGCAGCCTGACCGGCGCCAACCTCTTCAGGGAGGAGTGGAGCGGGCTGCTGGAAGAGCTGGCACAGAAAGGTGAGTGTGCCTTCAGGGCCCCTAGACTTCGCCTCCAGTGTGCAGGGAAGTTATGAACCCTAACTGTAGCTGTGCAGACTGTATCCAGAGGGTATCTCTGAAGTTTAAAAATCAATGTGTTCATTCTAGGAACTCGCGTGGTTCTTCATCAAATAATAGCTTTTGGTTTCTGTACATCTGCTCATGCGTATCATAAAGGTCCAAAAAAGGCCAAATAAGTTACTGGGCAACAGTCTGTGTGGTTTTTTTCTCTATTATGAATAATTTTCAGGATCTGAACTTTTTACCTTTTGCTTGAAAAACCGTATGCCCTCATATCCAATCTGAGGTGGTAATTCCTTTCCTACAATAAGCTACACATGTGTATGTTATTAAATTATGATGCTTTCCTGCCTGTATGTCACTATTTGTTTAAGATTGGAATATTAAGTGGTCATTGGCAGAAGTACAGCCAGCCCAGTAGTTGTCTTTGATAGCATCCAGGAGAATGTACAGGGAAGAGTAAAGAGTAAAATAATGCTGTGCTGATGCTCATAATACATAAATACTCTGATAGCTTCCATCCATTTCTGTCTTTGGGGCTTCCTGAACCAGATACTGTTAGCAGTCCTTAATGAATTTCTCTTCCATGAATGTATACAGTCCACTTGAAAGCATACAGAGTTTTGCTGAAAACATTGTGTAGCAAGGAGTTCTGCAGCTTCATTGAATAATGAAGATTGTGAAGAATCTTCTGTTTGTTTTGATCCTGCTGGCTTCTAGATCATTTGATGTCCATAGTTTCTGTGTTAGAATAAACCATGATCAATCCTGCTTCCTCTCTGCATGCCACTTGAGATTTTACAGCTGTCTTATTTTCCCTTCATCATCTCTTTTTCTAGATGGATGAGTCCTAGTTTGCTTAGTTGTTCCTTATATGTAAGTTCTATATCTTTGATCATCTTTGTTGCCCTTCTCTGAACCTTTTCCAGTTCTACCCTGTTTTGAGGTGGGGAGGACCACAACTGCACCCAGTTTTCAAGATGAGGGCAAACCATGGATCTACACAGTAGTATAATGATCTTTGTTTTGTTCTCTATTCCTAATATTTTCTAATATTTTTTTTTACTGCTGTTGGGCATTGAAGCTGATTTATTAATGAAAACAGCATTATTATATTATGCTGGAAATAGTGTTATTTTGTTTGTGATGTTAGGGTACATTTTTTTCATGTGTCTTAGTTTACATTTATCTGCAATGAATTCCATCTGATACTTTATTGCTCACTGTGTCTTGTTAGTCTTCATTTCTTCTCAGACACTCCATGCGTTTAGATCCCAAATCAGTTTGATCAGTAAACTTTGGCACTTTGCTGCTCATTCCCTTTTTTAGGTTATTACTGTGTGTGTTGAACAGCGCAGAACTGTAGAACTCCATTGGTTACCTTCCTAATACACAAGAATTTGTGTTTACCACTGCCCTCTGCCTTGTATTTTTTACCCTCTGTTTCACATTATTTATTCTATGAAAAGACTTCTGTCTTATACAGTGACTGCTTAGTTTCCTCAAAATCCTTTGGCAAAAGACTTTGTCAATGGCTTTTTAGAAATCTAAGTAGATTATGTCAACCAGATATTAAGTCACATTTGGAACTCTAGAAGAGGTTTGTAATGCATGGTATACATTCATAGAAAACATTTTGATTCTTCTTCACGATGTTATATATATCTTCATGGACATTAGTTATATTTTTCATTATGGTTTCTGCTGTTTTTCTGTAACGTAGACATTAAACACACTGATACATAGTTCTTGAATCTCATATTAAAAATTTGACATTATATTTACTACCATCCCATCCACAGATACTAAGGTAGTTGTAAGTGCTTAAGCAGCTAAGTTATTCCATCCTTGAGGTCCTTTAGAACTCTTGGATGATGCAGCATTTTCATTGCTGTCTTGGGAGACTCTGCTAAGACTTAGAATTGGAGCTTTTCTGTTCTGTTTGCTTATTAATCATGAAATCAGAGCCTTTCAGTGTTGCAAAAGAGAAGTCTTCAAAAGTTGAATGTTGGTTTCTAAGTGTTTACATATGCCCATAATCACGTCCAGTTTGCATCCTTTTTCTTCTTCATTGCACATTATACACTGAGACTACAATTTGAATGATACTGTTTTTATTTGAAACCATCAATTTTAAGGTTGGTTACAAAACTTGGTAATTATTTGACACTTTGAGATGGACTGAAAAGCTCTTATTTCCTTCCTTACTGTAAGGAGTTCCGTGCAGGATTCTTTTGTTTGGATGTTTGATTGGCTTTTGTTTGTAGTTTTGACTAACCTTGTTACCTAAAATATCTAAACATAATTTAATGTTTGGATATGTTTAGTAGAGCACCCAAGCATTATGTCTAATTTATTTTTTTTTAATAGTCTTACATTTCTTTCTCCAAATAATTCTTTACAGGAAAGATTGATGCAGAAGCTGTTAAGAAATATGCTTACCTTAACATTGTGGGAATGGTTGGATCCATAGACAATGACTTCTGTGGCACTGATATGACCATAGGTACTGACTCAGCTCTGCACAGGATAATTGAAGTTGTGGATGCCATCATGACCACTGCTCAGAGGTAAATTGAGCATATTATAGAGACTGATAACAAATGCACAGATGTTTATGCTTTTGTTTAAGGTCATTTTAAATAGAGGTTAGGTAGATGGGGAAATAAAAAGTTCTTTTTTACTGAATCTTTCAAGTGTCTTGGTTCCTTTTTTTCTTAGTAACTGCTTTTTCATTCCTGTGGTGGCAGCACTTCAAGTATGTGATTGTAGAGACTGCATCAGCCTTAGGGGCAGACTTGGTTTTTAATGTTTTTAGTCTTTTTCAGACATAGTCTGTTAGGAGATCCAGACACACTGTGAATAGTACAAAAATAGCATCTGTCTTATATAAGCTTTATGTCAGTAAAAATTAGGCAATTATTTTTTTTTAAATACAGCTATGTCATTACAGTTCTTAACTATGGGTCTACATCATTTACATTTCCGGTAAAGGTTCACTTCTTGTCTCAAAACATACATGTTTTGCAAGAAAGTGGTGAAAATGAATTATGTATTGGAAGATACTTGATTTTAAATATGTTGTTTAATGTGACAATAATTTTGTTTTCTTAATGTTTCCTGTTTTGCTAAGGAATTTTGAGTTTAGTAGCCATGGTAAACATAAGCTGTTTTTTGATACTAGGTTCAGTTAATTTGCATTCTTATTTTTACAGCCATCAGAGGACATTTGTTCTGGAGGTTATGGGGCGACACTGTGGGTATGTACTGTTTTCAGTATTTTGTGTCTTGTACAGGTACAATTATGAAAGAAATGTGAACCATAAAAAAGTCTAATGATTTATTCTGTTTATTAGGTATCTAGCTCTGGTTAGTGCCTTAGCCTGTGGTGCAGACTGGGTGTTTATTCCTGAATACCCACCAGAGGAAGGCTGGGAAGATTCAATGTGTGTTAAGCTTTCAGAGGTAATTTGTTAATATGTTTGAGATTCTCTAATGTCTTTGTGGATGTTTATTTGAAAGCAATGGTTAAAAAGTGTTGATCAGGACTTTAAGCAAGTCTTTGGTTTCGGTGTCACATAAAGTTCTCTGTGATCTTGAACATTTCTTTTCTTGCACTCTGTCATTGTTTTGAGGAAACATATGACCCACTCTGGGAATTGCATAAAATTATACCTATATAAGCAATATGTACATTTCCTCAGTAATTTGATCTTAGACATTTTACTTCAGCAATGAAAAGATGTGTATGAAGATAAAAGGTGTGAGAATGCGTCACATATGAGTGATCAAGTACAAGAAATGTTTCCTCAAATCCTAGCAGCTTAATGTAGAGCAAATGATTATAAAACTAGGCTGTAGATTCCTTGGGGCTTTTTTTTAACTACACAAGTGTGCTTTTATTTTTATTACAGAACCGTGCACGAAAGAAAAGGCTGAATATTATTATTGTAGCTGAAGGAGCTATTGATTGTCACAACAAGCCTATAACATCAGAGAAGGTTAAGGATGTAAGTATCAACATCCCTATGATACAAGATTTCTGTTCATAAGATGGGACTCATTGTTAACAATAACATTCCTGTAGAGTAAATCTGTTCCTGTAAGGTAGCTTATCACACAGTTGTATTTTATGCTTGTGCTTTATTATCTGAAATTCCATAGTCAAATTAAAGGGCCATGTTTTCAGTGGCAATTAATTAGAACCTTTTCTCTTTGTAATACAACACAGCAGTTCAGAAGCATCTGCTTCATGGGTGTCTTAATTGATAAATTGATAGTTTGAAAGCAGCTCAAATCTGTATTTAAAATCTTATTTTACTTTGTATGTCTTGTAAAACTTTTAATACTGGTCTCTCTCATAGTGAAGTAATACTGTGTACTTTGGACAAAGTCTTGTCCAAGTCATTGCTTTGCCAAAAATTTCATTGGTGTCTAAGATTAAGAAAACTTTTAAGGTTAATTTTTCTGCTTTTTTTTTTTTTTTTAAGAAATCATTAAGAAAACAAATTGGGAAATAGTCATTGCTAGAAAGGAGCTATTAAACTTTGCCTTTACCTGGGGTTTATCTGTCCTGTGACTGTGAGGTTCTCTTTTCCATAGCTGTCAGTTTTAGAGAAACCTTTGACTTCATTCAGAATTGCATTTTTATGAAGTAACATTTAGCACTAAGTGGTGTTAAGTGTACGTGATGCTAACATATATATAAAATAATGATAAAGATAAACCCACTGTATTCTGAAATTCTATGCAGCTTGTGGTTCAGCGGCTTGGTTTTGACACCCGAGTAACCATCCTGGGTCATGTGCAAAGAGGTGGAACCCCTTCAGCTTTTGACAGAATTCTTGTGAGTATTCCCAAAATAACTGCTCATGGCACCACATAGAACAACTGCTTTTTGATTATTTATTTGGGGGTGGGATTGTTTTCTACCTGATGAACTTGACAAATCAAACTGTTATATCACATTAACTGTCTGAATAGCTCAAATTCAGAGTAATGAAGCAATTTGTGTGAAGGAACTTATGTTTAGGATCAAAATTCGAAGCTTAATCGTCCATACTTACAGGTAGAAACAGCCCACAACTTTTGCACCTTACCAAGGAGTGATTTGTGTCAGCTTGAGTTACAGAGAAATCAGGACCATTTCTGTGATTGGAAGCCTTGTGCTTTAAAGTGCTTGCCTGAGCACTCAAACATTCTCTACTTGCAGGCGAGTCGTATGGGTGTGGAAGCCGTGCTTGCCCTTTTAGAAGCTACTCCAGATACCCCTGCCTGTGTTGTGTCCCTGTCTGGAAACCAGGCTGTCCGTCTGCCTCTGATGGAGTGTGTGCAGATGGTGAGGCTCTGGCAAAAAGCCAATTTATGTTATTTATTTACTACAAAGGACTGCTCTGTATTGCCTGTATCTCATTAGGACATTGATGGAATGTATACAGCACTTTTCCATATATGAGAATGAATAATGAAGTTCATGTATGTTCTCTATGTGTTAAATATTCATTTGCAAACTATCCAGGGATAAGAAATACATATCTTCTTAATCTTTCTAAAATTTCAGATCTTCAGTTTTTGTTACAACAAATTCTTCAGATGCTTGCATCCATTTATGTGTCATAGACAAATCAGGTTTCTGCATTAAAACTGTTCAGATTAAACTGAAAAAAGAAAATGCATAATAGATACATTGATTTATTTGTCCTGTGAAGGCTTTAGGTATTTGTTTCTACTTCATTCTTTTTCTGTACCCTGAAATTTGTGCTGTGAGAGGAGGTAGCTCATAAATTGAGGGATTGTCAGTATTTCTTTTTGCACTGTGGAAATATATTAATACATGGAATATATTAAATAATCCACCTCCTGCATTTTTTTAAACATATTGAATGATCAACTTGTTTTTTCAAGACTCAAGAAGTTCAGAAAGCCATGGATGAGGGAAGATTCCTTGAGGCTGTGAGGCTTCGTGGAAGGTACGGCCAATAGCTCATATAGCTTACTTGCTGTAGAAGAGCTGAGTTGCCTTGTTGTTATGCTGGCACATGACATTTTATTTGAAATATTTAACTAACTGTATGTTTTTATGGGTTTGAGAATGAGAGGAGACAAAAGAGTTGCCTAAATAGAAGAATTTAAATTCTTACCCGCACCAAAACATGCAAAACAAAGCAAACTGTAATTCACTGCTGTGTCAGACTAGTGACTGTTTCCTAAGCTAACTGGTCACAAAGCAAAAAGCTTCTGTGCTGTATGACCTGACTGGCAGCAGCCATTAGTTTGTTTATTCTTGAATTTGAGGCAAGTCCTGTGAGCTTGTTTGTAAGTTGTTGGTAGTTTTCCAGCAGTAATGTTGGAGAAGGTATTCTTTTCCTGTCAGGAGAGTGATTTCTGTTTCAAGTCATTTGAGAATAAAATACTTTCTCCCCAGTCCAGAAAACTAATTTGTTAGCTACATAGTTGTTTTATATTTTATTACTCTTATCTTAAAGAATTGAATGTTTTTCATTCTTCTCACATTTCCAGTTTTTGCCATGTTTTGCATTTGCAATAACAGTGGTGATAATATTTCATACCAGTTTTTTAAAGTTTCTGAAAAATTCAAATGTTCCTTTAAAATGAGTTTAAAATTTTACTATTTTATTTGCTTATCTTACTCATTTGTTTAGGAGCTTTGAAAACAATCTTAACACGTACAAATTACTGTCGCACAAAAAGCCAGATGCCGAGCTCCCAAAGGTAAGGGGGTTTGTTGAGTGTGCAGTGCATGTCTGCTTTTGGGATCTATTAATAATGACCTTCAAACCTCTATTACAGTATAATTTATAAATAATATATTATAAATATATTTGAAGAACAGTAGTTTATTCTAATAAATAACGTTTTTTATAAAGTGAAATACCATTGTAACTAGAAAATTGCTGTACACCATTTCTTTCTGTTTTCGATGGATGTACATCCGGTCTCAGTTGTTATAATGTTGTCTGGTCCTAATAGTTGCTGTTTTGCCCTCTGTTGCTTACCATGGAGAGAAGGAGGGGTGATGTTTAAGATCATGATTAAGACTCTGAAAATCTTGAGATAAAGGAAGAGTCTATATTAAAAGAATTCTAAACCTCCTTTTGAAGGGTAAGATCACTCAAGAGCAATGGCAAATCCAGGAATTCATGGGAAGCAGTACTGAGGACAGATGCATCACCTTTATATGAAGTAATAACTCACTGTGCCTAATACAGTAACAGACATTTAATTTCTTTGTAGTTCCTAAGAGTTGTATAAGAGGAAATTTGGATTTATACAGGAAGCAGACACTAAATTTTGTGTAAATCTTAGACATGATTTATTTTTGTTTTTATTAAAAGTTTACTGAACAGGTCTGTGTTTGATCTTAGTTGGTGACTATGTCATCTCACTTGTTCCTCTTAATTGTGTTTTGTGACCATTTGTTGCCTTATTTTTGCATAATGATGTTGCTGTTGCACTTTCTAGAAATCTTTTTCCCAAATAAGTATTGAGTATAGATTACTGGTGTTACCTTCCCAATATTATTAAGAAGCAAAATTGCATTGATAATACAGTAAGGTCCTAAGACTGACCTTCAAGAGGTCAAGGAATTCAGGATTTTTTAGGTGGTTATTTAATATTTTCTTTGATGGATCAAGTTTATGGGTGGTGGGGTTTTTTAATACAGTAATGCAAATCCAGGACTGTTAGCAGTGGGCTTTTGTTTTGTTTTTTTCTTTTAATATTTTTGTCATATCTCCTGTGACAAATGGCATTAGAAGGAAATGTCCATGTGTAATTACTAACTACTCGGATTTGACCATACTAACAAAATCTGTGCTTTCAGTAAAAGAGGTTGAATAGGAGTTAAAAAGTAGATGAAATATGCATGTCACAGGAACTGAGGAAAAAGCTAAGCTGATCAGATCAGGAGAGCCAGCTGAATGCTCTGCTTCATGAGTGCTTCTGCACACATTATATTTTGCTGTTTGTGATTACATTGCATTTTTCTACAATCCTTTGATTGTACCAGAACCAAAGGAAGAAAACAAAAGAAACTACATATACTTTGGTTCGTGTCTCTTTTATTGTGGTTTTTTTGGGGGGGTTGTTGTTGGTTTGGAGTTTTTTGGTTTTGTTCACTTGTTTTGTTTTTTAATCAGATGAGATTCCATGATCATTACTTAACAACTGTTCTAGTTTTTTGTTGGTTTGTTGGTTTTTTCTGTTGTTCTCATCTTGGTTTTTTTTGTTGTTGTTCTCATCTTTCAGAATACAATTAAATAACTTCTACCTCTTCTGCAGGACCAAATTGTTAAAATTGTCATTAAGAAATGTTTTTAAAATTTCCATAATCTGAAAATGTATGGTGTTGGGAAAGATGCTGAATGCTCCTGTTTGCCAGCATATTGTCAGCTGCTTGAAAAACCTGGCCTAATTAACCTAGCTTAATTTTAAAACTTGTCTGTTCCACTCTGCATTGTACTGATGATACACACTTAAATGCTGTGGTGCTGGAATCAGTTCCTCTTACTTCTTTTTTTTTTGCTATTATTGGTGTGTTTGCAGAAAAAAAAATTCCTGCTTTAGTAACATGAAGCTGGTTGAATAGCAATGGCCAGCTTGGGTGGAGCTCTGAGCAGCCTGGTCTAGTGAAAGGTGTCCCTGGCCATGTCAGGGGGTTGGAATGAGATGACCTTTATGGTCCTTCCAACCCAAACCATTCTGTTATTCTATTTCATGTTTCTTGAACCTGGGCTTAGAATATAAAAACCTGAATAATTGAAGTTGTTAACGAAATGGAATTATGACAAAGTCTTACTTAAAAAAAAAAAAAAATTTAACTGTTTGTCTCTTTGATATTCTACAAGTGGGGAAATGTGTCTGCACCTTCCGGCTAACTTCCAATTTTCAACATGTTTACGGGCTGTAAAATTTCCTTTCCTGCATTTCAGTATTTAGCAACTGCATATGATGTACAAATGATGCAGAAATCAAAGTCCTTACTAAAAATAATTTTTATCTTGCAGACTAATTTTAATGTGGCAGTTTTAAATGTTGGTGCCCCTGCAGCTGGAATGAATGCCGCAGTGAGGGCTGCAGTGAGAGTTGGAATGACTGAAGGTCACAAAATATTTGCTGTCATTGATGGTTTTGAAGGGTTCGCTAGAGGGAAGGTCAGTGTCACGTGTGTGCATTACCAAGTGCATTGCACCCCATCCCACACCACCACCTTTGTTCATGTTCTTGGAAGGCATACTGCTGTTCTGTCATAACTGCTGGGGGAACTGGTTCTGTGAGTGCTTTTATTTCATAAAGATCTATAAAACCTAGATTGTAACTATTTCCCAACTATTCAAGTCTTTAGAGTCATTTATGCTCATTTATGCTGAGTGTTACTAATTACATGCTGCAGAGCTACAAAATCAGTTCAGATGAATCCTACCTTTGAATTTGAGTTCAGCACATGCATTCCTTTGTAATGGTGCTTATTGAGAGAGGAATCTTTTTTTTACTTAGCTAAGTTAAATTGTTCTATTTCCCTGTTTTTAAATGTTACACATCAATTGGTGTAATAAAGAGAAACTGAATGCAAGACTAATGATTTCTGTGCCTGGCTGGAGCCACAGATCCCAAAACTTACATCAAAGTCCTAGCTTTAGATTTTTTTGCTTCACATTCAGTAGGAGAGGATGTGAAAATACCAAGATACGAAACACAGAGACAGGGTTAATCTTGGTCTGGAAGCAGAAAGAACAAATGTAATGGAAAGGGATTGTAGTAATTCAAGAGAAATTATGTTAAACTCTTGGTACTGTTTTCTTTCTTAGCCTCATTTAGTTTTAGTGATGTCAGTGCCCAACAACTTGTTCCAACAGCTTTTCATGAAGTAGTACCTGGTGTTTGCTACAGCTCAAGAGAAGTAATTGGATAATTATTTAACAAAATCTCCTTTTCTACTTTTATTCAAAGATAAAGGAAATTTCCTGGGGAGATGTTGGAGGCTGGACTGGTCAAGGAGGATCAATTCTTGGTACAAAACGGTAACATAAATATTTCTGTCAATTGATACGATGAACTGTAGTGCTTTATATAACCACTGTATGATTCCATGCTCTTTTCTTCGCACAAAGTGTTTTTAAGTCCTCTGTTTTTGTACATTGGGGTTTTGTGAGTTTGTTTTTTGTTCAAATCCTTGTGCTCCAACTTAGATATCTTTACAGTACTGAACCAGCTCTGAAGAGTGGGAGTTAGGACCTCAACTTAAAAATTTCATGGGGTCCTTATACTTTAAACCTGCTGTTTCTTTACACTTGACTTGTTTCCTCATTGTTTGTCTGGAAAAGTTACTTGATAAATATGTAAAACAAAAAACATTGTGTTGCCGTCTCACTTTATGGTTTCAGCTTGGTAATGAGTTCTTAGTGCTTCAGAATCTATAAATTGTTTTTATTTTTCTTTTGGTTTAATGATTTTTAGTACTCTTCCTGCAAAATACTTGGAGAAGATTGCTGACCAGATGCGCACTAACAACATTAACGCCCTTATGGTTATTGGTGGATTTGAGGTACACTGAAATATCTAATTATGTCTAAGTAGAGTAGAATTCCTAACAGAATTAATAGTCTTTTTCGATTTTTACCCAATCTTCATGTAAGGCGCATTTGGCTCTATTTGTATTTGATACACGACATAGATAGTGTTTAGAATCATAAGTGTTGTCAGTCAGTGGTTGTCTGGAAAGCTGTCATTCAAGACAGTGACTAGAGCTGCTAAACAGATGTGCTAAATGGATGATATGAGATGAGATAGTGTTACAGTTTTTTGTATTAAAATTAATAACTTCTGTAGTTCAAGTTTCAGTCCATACTGTATCAATACTTGGAACATCCTTGCAGAAGTTCTTGATTCTTAGTAGAATTTGCACTGTGTTTCCTTATTTAAGCTGCTCTTCTCACATGGTGCACGTCAAAAATCTGTAATGGATCTAGAGAAATAGTTTTTTTCTGTATTTCATGTTTGCTTTGTTTTAAAAAAACAATTTTTGAAATTTTGATTCAGGAAAGTATTTTGCCTACTCTTTGCAGAGAAGAACATGCTCATTGCTTCTTGATAAAGAATGTATCTTCCTTTATTTGTCCACGCTGTTAGCTGTGACCCTAATTCAGAATATTAAGATTTTTAAATCAGGGGTAACAGTACCTGAAGATTGGGCAACTAGTTTGTTTTGTTGAAAACCAGTTTTTTGTGTCTAAATTAATCGTTTTTGAGAGAACATATGTTCTATTTATTGTTTTCAAATGTATGCTTGTTTCTAATGCCTTTTTTTTTTGTCTGTGTTAGATTTTAGTGGTTCCTTAGTGCTCTGACTTGCTGAAGTGTGCTGTGGTAGAAATGGCTCCCCCTGTGGCCCTTCTCATTTTGTCACTCCCAACTCTGCCCTTTATTCATCCTAATTTTTCACCAAATGCCTGTGCCCAACAGGCTTACCTTGGACTTCTGGAATTGTCAGCTGCCCGGGAGAAATATGACGAATTCTGTGTTCCAATGGTTATGGTTCCTGCAACTGTATCCAATAATGTACCGGGTTCAGATTTCAGCATTGGTGCAGATACTGCTCTGAACACTATAACTGATGTAAGTCTGCTCTGGTGTGTGCACATGCTAACAAAACAGTTATTTAAATTTACTCAATTGGCTACAACTGGATATTTTTGTAGACCAGAACTTCGGAAATGTGATCTGGGAAATTATAATTACTTGATATAGCCACAGTCATGACACCACTTTAGAAAATAAAAAGCCTAGGATCCCAAGTGCTTCCATTTAATTTCCGGTGAAACTACTGTGACCTCTAAATTTTTTCAAGTGCAGGATAAGATGGCATCTGTTGTTGTATAAAAAAGAAAGAAAACTGAAAAGCTGAGACTTGATCATCATTTGCACTGTAGAGGGGAAAAAAATCCTTGTTCATAATATGTAGAGTTGTATTATACCCAGCAGCAGCAAACACTGTAGGAAAGTTGCTCTGTTGTGAAGAAGATTCTTAGTTATGTAGCATCTTTACTCCTCAAAGAGAATATGTAAAATCCATATTTCTCTAATTATAGGCATTACATTTATTTAGCTAATGGCAGATTTAATAAAAATAATTGAGACATATTAAGAAGTATTTTTTAAAAAAATCAAATCCTGTAATACAACATAAGGTAAAAATTGAATATTGAATCTCTTATGAGGAAAAAACTTCTACTTTGAGTGTGGTAGAGCACTGGAGAAAGCTGCCCAGAGAAGTCGTGCAGTCTCCTGTGGAGATAATCCAAACCCACCTGGATTGTTCCTGTGTCACTTGCTCAGGTAATCCTGCCTTGGCAGGGGATTGAACTCCATGATCTCCAGAGGTCCCTCCCAAACCTGGCCATTCCTCAGTTCTCTAATACTAATTTCAGTGGAACAGAAAGCATAGTCAATTGAAAACGAGAGTTTCAAGTTGCTTTTGAAAATGAAATGACAATTCTCTTATCACTTAAATGTATTTGAAAATTTAAATCGTAATAGCTTTTTCATTTCAAGGATTCTTCAGATGCCACCAACTTTGAATGCACTACCATAATTTCCTTCTTTTGTTGTTGTTTTTTTGTTTGTTTGTTTTACCATTGCAAGAGAAATAATTTTAACTTTATCAAAAGAAACCCTTCAGTTAGGAAATACTAGTTTCCTGAAGTATTGCCTTGAATAAGACTATAATATATATGAATTTATAACTAAAATTCATTGAATGAATTCTTTATAGACAACTTGGGTTATAAATGTTGATGTTGTTTCCAGTTCTGGTAAATAAAAATATCCCTCCAAAATGACCATGAACTAAGGTGAGTAAAATGATTGTGCATAACATCTGCTTTCCTTCTTCTCTTATCTTCATAAGCTTTGTTAACCAAACTGACTTCTTTTTATAGGTTATTTCATAGAAAGGGGATATATCATAGTCAGTCCTTGTTGCTGTGGTTTGCTATCTATTTAGGTTTGTAGGTATCATTTGCCTTCATTAGATAAAATGTTCTTCTCTCCATATTTTCAATGTGGTAGTCGAAAACTTTTCATAAGCACTTTTTTTTTTTTTTTTTTGCTAATGGCTTTCTTCTGGTTGTTTTGCATTTAATTTTGCCTGTATCTTTCTCTGGATCAAATATGAAAAGTAATGGCTTTTCAAGATTTCTATTCAGTTGAGTGGAAAATGAAATTTGGGTTGATTGGTTTTTTTTTTCAAGGAGCAGACTTTTGCATTCAGAAAACATTTCTGCTTGGTGTCTTCACAGTTTTTTGCTCTCATTGTTTGAACGTGATTCACCAAAACTGTCAGTTTTGTCAGAAAAACACATCCTTTCATTCTTGTGCCATGCTCAACTCCGGTGCAGTAGCAACAGTGCCCCGTGTTCAATGTGACCAAATAAGCTCAATACACGTCATACAATTGACTGTGGTAAACAAAAGTAGGAGGTGGACATGAATATCCATTTTATATCGTTTCTATATAGTTTTTTACCCCTGTTACCACAGTTAGGTCGATAAATGCATCCTAGTTTACAGTGCTCTCAGAGCTGTAGAACCTCTTGTGAACACCGAAGTGTCATTACACTTAGATTTTCTCTGGTATGGTTCTTACTTGAATGTTCTTGCCTACCTCTAGTAAGGTAAGTACAGTTGTGCTGGTAATGGGGGATTGTTGCTGTTTGGCACCAACAGACACTTGCCAGTTGTTTAAACTTGTCAAGCCATGTAAATAGTACCCTGAAACATTTGCTAATAAAATGTGTTAAAATTCTGCATTTAAAAAGAAAAACAATTTAAAAAGAGCCTTAACAGATACATGACTTCTGAATGAGAGATTAGTAAAGAGTGTGCTCCTCACAAAGGCATAAACAGTGGATACATTTCTCAATAACTAATTTAGATTCTGTAACAGATCATGGGACCCTTTAAAAATATTCTGTTTTTCCACTTCTGTTTTAAAATCTTGGCTTCAAATTTGATTTATCTTTTAAATAGTGTTTTAAATTTATGATAAACTGTATTTTTCACTTCACTTTTCAGAATATTAGAAAAACTGCTAATGACAACATAAATATACAATACCTGGGAAAAGCTGGATGTTTTTTCCTGAGGAGGATATGTTTTTTCCTGAGGAGGATATATATAGGCATACAAAGTAAACTTCTTAGGATTGCAGGATAAGAACATGAACTTCGTATTTTCTATTAAATGAAGCATCACTAAAATAACTACCATAATAAATATATCTATATTTTCAAGCATGTTGTCAATTTAATGAAATGAATAGGATGTTGTTTTGGATATCAGACCTCAGGAATGTGACATGAAAGGAAAAGGTATCAGCTAGATAAGAATGATGGAACCTGAAAAATGGAGAGGCTAAAACTTTCTATTGTGTTTCTTTGACAATCCTTTTCAGAAAAGGAAAAGGAGGTACAGACTGATGATTTGGTTTTGTGGGGAAAAAAAGGAAAATCAAACATCCCCTGAGGAACAAAGAAAGCTGCAGTCTGCCTTCAGGGCAGTCTCCACAAATTTCCTGTGGAAAACAGACGCCTGTACCCTCCCAGAAGCATATATGGCTCCACATTACTCTGAACTAGGAAGCTGCAAATTAGCCTTGGCCACTAGCTAACCTGTTAATTTTTCATCTCCTTCAGTCCTAGTAGCAGCCGATGTGGAGTAAGGGCAGTAACTCCATCCCCATCCCCTTCAGTGGCCATTTGTATTTAGATCAACTTAAAATCAACAAACAGTAGTCAGTGCTTGACTGCATGAATTTTTATAAAGCATCCTTGGTTCTAACAACCTTTTTAGTAACACAAATCCAATAAAAGGGTAGGAAATTATTAAACCATTTTATTAACATAGTGCATATCTCTCTATGACTGTATTGTAGTAATTTAAAAACAAATACTAGCATAGCAGTTATTAAAATCATTGATCACATTTTTACCCTTTATAATTAAGTGACCATATATTAAAATAATTTTCCTATTTTGCCACAGTGATGCAAAGATGTTGCATATAATCATCTAATGCTCATGCTTGGTGAAGGTACAGTCATTGGATATGTTGGCTGAAATCACTTGCATCAAATAAAATGGCAATATTTAATGCAAGTAAAACATATCTTAACTGCATCTTAACATAGCATAAATGCAGACTAACCAGTTATGTTAGTTACTGCTCTGCATCTCCCTTTGACTTGGTTTTCCAGAAGTCTTAATATAAAACGTTTTAGAGAAAGTCATGTTCTGCTGATCTCCAGGAAGCTGTATGGTTTTACTAAACCACTGTTACTTTGTATGTCTTTATTCTTTTAGCAGAAATAAAAGTTCAAAGCAGCCTGACTGAGCTGAGTAGGGCAATTACTGAAATTTCCTAAGTGAAGTCTCAGCCACTCAAAAAAACAAATCCCAAATAAGCCACTCCTGTTTCTTGCTCTTGGCTGTACTGCTTCTCAGCTCTTTGGGTCTGAAAGTGCCACCTTCCGGGCTGTGTTTCAACCTTAAACTGAAAGTATAACACTGAGCTGTTTCATTTACAAAACACATGAGAAGAGAGAGATTTTTAGGAAGTCAGTTTGCATTTATGCACCTACAGCCATAAATATCCTGTCTTCTCACTGAACAGGATCTGCTCTGTCTAGGACAAAAAGCCCAGAAGGAGAACTCTCACAGGTAGGGGATTTTCCCATGATTTTCTTCTAAGTTGTTCCTTAAATCAGTCACTGTACAGATATACCTGGAGATACCTCAGTAAGTATCTAATTTTGATCTGCAATAGTTTGCTTCTCTGAACCAATTTGAGAAATCAAGAAAATGAGACTTCTGTGAATATCAGTTTCTGGGAGAAAGAGATGGAAAAGTAATGTACTATGTAATCAGGCTTTCTGGTGGAGAGCCATTACATAGGCAGTTCGAAAAATTGCCACACTTCATGAGAGATGCTAATTAGTTTAGATTAGAAATAATTGGAATAATGTAATGTGTATTTACTTAAAACAGCTGCAAAATTTTAACATTTATTTTGACATCCACTAGGAACACCTAATCCTTTTGACATGATTATATATTTTGTAGAGTTTGGAGTCTTTCCAAGGACCTAAAACTGCTTTTCAAAGAATCCTTGAACTATACTTGCAGATTTTATTAACTCATCCATGTACACATGTTCCTGGGTGTATCTAGGCCTACATCCAGTCTGTGTGGGCAGAGGCAGAGGCGTGATGTTGATAAAAACTTTGAAGGCATGGGTGAACCTTTTTTTTTTCCTTTCTCTTGGTGGAAATAGATGTGTGTCTTTACTTTTTAGGATAACATAGTTTTTTTAAAATATGTCTTTCTTTAAGCATTTTCTTCAAGTTGCAAGGGTTTTACTAGTTAACTTTCTAAGCTCCTTGGCATGGATCAAGCTTCGTTCTTGAAGTCCTTTCTTGTGGAATGATTTCTACTCTAGCTTTTTGTGATCATTTCCTACCTGTCTGCTTCAGACCTCTCTGCTGTGCACACTTTACCTTCCATCTGTACTAACTTGTACTAATCCTCTGCATTTCTTCAAAGAGCATTGTGCCAATGCAACCCCAGTGCACTGTTGTGGTGTGGACAGGATGTTTTCCACCCCCCAAATAATCTCACCTATTGTATTTACTTGGGCCAATGGGCAGCCACATTTACCATTCACATGCCAGGAGTCATTAGCAGAGCAGTGCAAAGACAAGGAATGTTTCACTCACACTTGTACCACTGCTTCAGGCCTTTGAAAGTTGTCTGCAGCTCCACGAGGCGCGTGCCAGCTTTGAGGAGTTTAGAGTTCCTATGTGTGTGTTGCCTGCTACTATTAGCAACAATGTGCCAGGCACAGACTATTGCCTTGGTACTGACACTGCCTTGAATGCTATTGTGGAGGTAAGACTGCGTATCTTTTAAAAGTTAAAATTATTAAATGCATAAGAGGAGGATACCTAAAGACCTTGGAATGGTTTTCTTAAATAACTCAGTTGCTGTGTTTTTTTAATGGTTAATAGTTTAGTTTTTCAAGACCGAAGATTAACCTTAGAAAAAATATTATATGTTTAATTTCTGGGCAGTCTCTTTTGTTCTTCAAGACTCCTGCATTAGTGCTTAGGGTATTTGCTTTTACTTTTATTTTGCTTTCTTCAATTTAATTTTTATCTTACCTATTACTTAGGTAAAAGAAGAAAGCACATATTTTATAAATAAATGCCCCATTTGTTGGATGAACTATTGACTGAGCTCAGTGCAGCAGAGCATTTTATAAATACATGATTAACACTAAACACATGAATAATCCCGTAGACTTAATTAGGCTTAACATACATTAAGTGCATATAAATGCATGCATAGTATAAGCAGTAAAGTCTGTCACTGATGTTCAGCTAAACAGTGCAGGGTCAGAACAATCAGTGTTCTAGTTTTAGTCTACCACAGTTTTTCCCTTTATGAGCTTTCAGTCCTATTTACTCTGCTTAAGACACAGCAAAGGGAACTTAGCTGAGATCTAATGCCAACAAATGAGTATATCTTACCAGCTCTGAGTTTTATCAAACCCATCATTAGCAAGCCATATAACTAATCCTGAAGTAATTTGCCAAGGAAGTCAAGTCAGGACTACAGATCCAGGGGGTTGGGAAAAGCTGGTTTGTTTTCTTGCTTTATACAGTGTTCTTATATAGTAAGTGAAAAACCTCCAGCAGATACCTGGAAGAGCTGTGTCAGAAAACAGGGAGGCCTGGCCTTTGGGAGCAGCAGTGCAGCATCCCTGGGGTGAGATGTCTTAAGGTATCCTGTGGGCTCATCATGTAGCAATGTTCATAGGCAGGACATGGATACTTTTTCTCCTTCAGCCTTTTCCCCCTTGGCCTGACATTTATAGAAGTAGCTAAGTCTGCTAATTGTGACTGATGCACCTTCAAAAGTGGTAACTTCAAAAACACAGTGAGGCAACAAATGATGACATACAGTGCTGCTTCCTCTTATTTAATTGGTTTTGGTAGTAGTTTAATTACAGTTTGTATAGATTTTGGTAATGCTTTCAGTAAAAAAAAAAAATGGTTGCATCATTTGAATTTTATTGTCATTAGGATATTTAGTTAATGCTAATAGCAGAACACTTGATTTGGTGTTTTGAACATTAGGATTTCTCATTAAGGTGGGTCAGTTCATATGAAAGCTCAACTAGCAATAGAATTCCAAAATGATGTCTGAAACCTGAACCAGGCATTTGAAGTTTGGCTTTTCCAGCCTGTAATGTAATGTATGAATTAATAATCCATTAAGTCAATTAAATCAATTAAAATTCATCTGTGCCAATTTCATATTTGGGTATTTCTGTCACAGTCATTCTGAGAAAGCAAGAACAGTATAAAGTTTCTACTCCATCTCTTGTATAGTCAGGGATAGAAACCCTTCTAAGTAGATTTCAAGTTATTAGTTCCATAGGCAATGACTGATTTGCCTCCTTGCTTAGTACCTGGAGATTCTCAGAAGGCAGAAAATTTCATTCTACCAGCAGATGGAAAATCTTTTTAGAAGTCTTGGGGTTTACAAATATTTTAAGTCTCTCAAAATAGTGGAAATCTTCATAAGTGTATTTATTGTCTAAAGGCAAGATTGTTTTACAACGTAAGTTAAACACAGTTTCAGGTAACTTTTTAAAAAATTAGTTAAATTGCTCCAGTGTATTCTGCAAAAATTTTCATGAAACAGTGTTTGGAAGGAGAAGGTAAAGTGCTTGGGGACACTGTAAAACCCAAGACAGGTAGAAGTGTCACTTTGAAAAACTGATAGAAAGTAAACACAGACTTTTGTGATGTATCTTGTTATGGAGATACTTTTCTGCTTAGGATAACAGAATATCCATATTCTGAATAAATTCATGTGAATGCTGCACTTTTGTATGTAAGCACATAGTATGCACATATGCAAATACATAAATAGATGTAATTTAATTTATACACATTTTATCTTTTTGCTAGCTTGACCTAAATACATGCATACACCAGTCTTGGTCTTAGTCTTTAAATGCATTAAACTGTATTACGCTAGAAGTTCTAGAGTTTTTATATTAAGTTTTCTCATGTATCAGTTAATGATTTGTTCTGTGATGTGTTAGGTATGATTTTAAGGATCATATTGCTCACAACCTGAATTTCAGCCTGAAGTAGTATTTTTAGTTAACTGAATGAAGTTCTGGTTTAAAAAACTCTGAAATACCTCATATATTACAGCACCTGCAGTTACTCATGTAAAAAAACAGTAAGGCCATGGGAATTTTTTAATGTTACCATAATTCATGGCAAGATGACAAACTTCCCAGGTACTTCCATTTCCATTTTTATGAAACAGAACTGGTGTTGGGACACTACATCAGTTTCACAAAATTCTTCCTGTCACAAAGTGTGGTATATCCTATTTATTTACTTGTTTCTAAGACAAAAATAGGATCTCTTTACTTCTCTTACTTGCTTTCTGAAAGGAAATTACATTAATCAACCTTAAAATAACTTCGAATGGTAGAAAAATGGATTTCAGGAGGTCAGCTTCTCAAATAGATTATTATTAAAACTAAAGCTGGATAGTAAACTAGTTCCTAGGTTTCTGTATTCTCCTCAGTTACAATGTTTTCCTAAGATTCCTAGGTATTGCCACACTGGAGATTGTCTCTGTCTTTGTTACTTTCCACATCTCTTAGGCAGCTCTACGAAATATTGGTGTTAATTGGTTTCATGTAAGTAACAGATCTCCTTGTAGAGAACGTTCTTTATGCCGGTCAGTGTAAGGTGCAAGTGGACATTTCAGTCTTCTTACAGTATGTACCTGTTAAAAAACCCAAAGCATTTTAAAACATGCACCAGTAGTGCTTGAAAGAATTATATTTATGTGGAAATCATTACTGGAAGGTAATTGGGCAATATCTGCTCAGGACTTATGAAGTTCAGTATAGATGGGAATGCAGTGAATTTTAATATCAGTACTAAGAAGTAAGCTTAAGTAATGTATAGTTAAAGAAGAGAAGTTTATTCATAACACAATTCCTTAAAAAAGTTTATTAGATCTACTTGTATCTGTGTTAGAAAATGCAGGTACACAACTGGTTAATGCCATTACAAACCAAAATGAATTCTTGTTTCAGTATTTGCAGGAAGCAAATACATGTTCCGAGTTGCTAGTAGAAAAACATTTTATTTCTACCCTGGTGTTCAGTATATGATTTATAAGAAATCCTTTGTTGGATGATTATTATAGTTACATAGGTTATGCCGTTTTGGAATGCTTTAAAGACTTTTTTTTATAAATGCTATATTTTTAATTTTTTGTTACCAGTAGGTGACACAAATGTATGCATGACATAGAAAAAGGTAAAAAATGAGGGGTTTTAGTGCATACTCAGGCTGTCGTGTCTCTGAGCAGACGTGTGACCGCATCAAGCAGTCGGCCAGCGGCACCAAACGCCGCGTGTTCATCATCGAGACCATGGGCGGCTACTGCGGCTACCTGGCCAACATGGGGGCCCTGGCAGCAGGAGCTGATGCTGCCTACATCTTCGAAGAGCAGTTTGATATCAGAGAGCTCCAGGTACTCAGCACCTTTTGCTCATTTTTAAGTAGATCTAAAGCTGTTGTACATGTATATCACAATGTGTATACTTGAAGCAGATAGCTTATGAAAGGAAAAACCTGATCCAACCAGCTGAGTTTGGACCTAAAATCTGCTTGTCGTGCCAATTCCTGTGCCATAACTTTATATAAAGGAATGTAGACGCAATCACTGTTAACACCCAAGTTAGTAAAATGACAAAAATAATTGGCCATTAAGCACTGCTAGAGTAATTATTTCTAAAAATTGATGAATTTTTAGTCTTCTAATTGAAATTCAAATTAAATGAACAGACCTGGGTAGTTTTAAAATACAGCAAAAAACAAAAGAACAGGATTTTTCCATTATGGTAGAGTTGTGTTTAAAGGCTTTTCAGGACAGGAACTGACCAGTATGTCAGGTTTATTAGATACTGACTCTGTTACCACAGCTATTCAGAGCATGTCTGGGGGTGTTAGTAAAATAAAGCCCTTGGGCTTTAAGGATTAGGTATTATGGTGTAATACATACACAAGATGATGTGGAACTTGTTTGCTGTGAGGACTTTTACACTTCTGAGATAGTGCTAGCTGCAGTCATGGACAAACACAAAGCTAAAAGGATAGAAATTTCCTGAGAAGCACAGAGATGTGAAATGAACCAGAACTTATCCTCACACAGTTGTTGGCAGGACTGGAAGTAAGCACAAGCTGTAAACTTCAGTGGCAATTTCTGTATTTTTCTGTGTATCAAGCTGGATGTTGTACCAATCTGCTACTTCTGATACAGAGAAAGATGTTAGTTTTAACCCCAGATGAATAGCCATACACAGTATGTTACCCTGAATCTCCAAAAATCTTGATAATTTGAATTTACACATAGAGCTTTATGTGGAATATTTGACATGAGTTCTCAGGAAATGTAGGCTCATTAAAGTTGTTTCAGATACAGAGTTCTGTATGGATCTTTAAAAATACTTCTGTTTCTAGGCTAATGTGGAACACTTGACTGAAAAAATGAAAACCAGTATCCAGCGTGGTCTAGTGCTAAGGTAGGTAAAAGTAGTTGTAATAGATGGCATCAGTGAGACTGGGCATTCCCAGCCAGGCAGCCTGCGTGGCCACTTGGAATGACACTCCAAGTATATATTCTGTGATTATTCCTTTAACTTGAGATTTTTAGAAATGCTGTTGCTTCATAAGGCAATTCTGGGACCTGTCTGGAAGTTCAAGTCCAAAACTTACTTCTATGTAAATATATTTGCTCTGTAATCTAATACTTCATCCTGTTTTCAGTCTATTTTCTTACTCAGTTTGTCTTTTATTCTAGATTCTTCCTTACTAAAGGTAGTGTGTCACATGCACTATGGCCTTTACTATAAAAACCCTAAAAATCATCAGCCTGATACATGGAAGTGAGGGCTATGTGATCAGATGAAAATGTCCAAGGCAGGATTACTGCTATCAAGAAAAGGGAAAAGACTTGTCATTCAGTAGCTGTAAAGACATCTAGTGCTTTAGAGTAAATTTGCTAACTGTTGGGCCTTAATTGTTACAGAAATGAGAACTGCAATGAGAACTACACAACTGATTTCATTTATCAGCTGTATTCTGAAGAAGGAAAAGGAGTTTTTGACTGTCGAAAAAATGTATTGGGCCATATGCAGCAGGTAAATAAAACCCTAGAAGTTACAGACAAGACTAACTTGGTATGCACAAAGTATATACACTACACTATTCAAGCATTCCAAACAAGTCTGACTCAAGATGAAGGAAAAAAAGTGTGGAATTTTGTTTGTAGGCAACGCAGAAAGTTTTTTTAGCATCAGGTTTTACTGCATACCCTTTTTAAAAACCTAGGAAAAATGCATTAGATTATTTTATGAATTTTATTTTTATTCCTCTCCTGTCTGTATTAATAAATAATTCCACTTTTTGTCTTATAATTAATTGTAATACCTTCTTCATAATAAAATTATCTGCCCATCCATAATGTATCTGCCTCTTGAAGAGCAGATTTCATTAAGAAAACCTGTACAGATGGGTGTTTTTATGGAAGAGACAAAAGTGAGCTTCTCTGTTGGCCTGTGTTACCTGCATTGCTTTATCTCACTGTGCAGCTGGTGGGCAAAGGGAGTTCCCGATTTGGCTACACTCATCAAGGAGGCTGAGGTGGAGGAAACTGCACAGTCCCCTCCATTCTTCTATGTGAGAACTAGTATTGATTCTGTGAGAGTTCTGCAGGTGCTGAACACAAATTTTAAACACCTTAGGTGGATTTAGGGGCTGAGGCTTTTGATTTGTTTTTCTAAGTGGGGGAAATAAGAGGTAGAGCAGGCCATTCAGAGATAAATGATGAAACAGACACCAATCCTAGTTTGATAATCTAACCAAGAATTCAATTTTCGCACAGGGTGGAGCACCTTCACCATTTGATAGAAATTTCGGGACAAAAATTTCAGCAAAAGCTATGCAGTGGATCTCCAAAAAACTGAAAGAAACCTACCGGAAAGGTGCAGAAATTTTTAGTGCAGTCTCTTGTTACTGTCTTTGTCTGTCACTACGTAAGATTCCTCCACTTTGCAAACATATGAATGTTTGTTAGTCAGCATATTCTTTCCCATCTGTTTTTATTATTCAGTAGTGCCTTGCTGTGCTTCCTGCTGTATGAGCATTTCCACTTGAGTGAGGTCAATAACTCAGTTATCTGTTTCATCATCCTCTTAAGCCAGTGTGATTGCAGGTTTTCATGTATGCTGGAATTGATGTTTGTATAGTTACATGTGTTCTTTTTTGTTTCATGCTGCCTTCATGGGAGACAGAAGGAGGTAATATATCATCTTCGGGAATTTTTGTAAAGCACTACTTCCTAAAATTTGATCTAAAACTGGATGCTAAAATTCAATCCTTTTGTTGTTTAATACAACTGTTATTTCATTGCTGATCACCAAAAGTTAAGCTAGAAAGTGAAGTTCTAACCCTATTAAAGCACTAATGATGTTTCATCATTCTTTTAAATAATCAGTAGCTGAAATTAGGCTACTGTAAGTTTTTTGTTCAGTTTAATCACAGAAAAAATGCTATTTGCCCTTATACATGTCGGAAAGATGCTGAATTATTTCATTCTTTTTAGGAAAAGTATTTGCCAATACCGATGACTCAGTTTGTTTGCTGGGAATGCGGAGACGCAACCTTGTTTTCCAACCTGTGGCTGAGCTCAAGAGTGAAACAGACTTTGTGTACGTATGCACTGCCTGTGGTAAACACCTCACTACAACCTGCCTTGCACCACTTCAAACAAACGCTTCCAAACACCTTACTGCATTTGCCTTAGGCCTGAATTCTGCCAGATCCATTTGGATTGTTTGCTTCTCTCTTGCCCTTGTGCTTTTACTTCATCTTCCTTACACTCGAGTCTCATGATGAAGTCTGGGACTCTGCTGTCCTGTGAAGTAACTTTCATGTGACTGCCTTTACCTTAATGACTAGAATTACTTTGCTTCCGTTTCAGTTCAGTGGGGCAGCGTTTTTGTTCTGAATTTGGTATTACGCTTAACATCTTCCAGTAAAATTTGTTCATTTCTTTGGGATTCTGTCCTTGATTCTCCTCATTTTGGGTCAGTGTTTTACATCCCCCCCATGATGGTCAATGCTTGGTTCCATTTATAAGGAAGGTGTTTGCCCTACCCCCATGTATTTCACCTGCCTGTTTTCCCCCCAGACACAGGATTCCCAAGGAGCAGTGGTGGCTGAAGCTGCGACCCCTGATGAAGATCCTGGCCAAGTACAAGACCAGCTACGATGTGTCAGACTCAGGCCAGCTGGAACACGTGGCCATGCTCCCAAAGGAAGCTGAGACCGGAGCCATCTAAACACACCACATTTAGATTGTTGTCATAGATGCACATTGTGAGTAACAATGCTTTAGAATCGTTAAAGCTTTGTTTTGTAACATTTAAATTATTGTTCCAGCACTTTATGTGAAACAAGACGTTCAGCTGTCACACAGATTTTGTCCTGTTTGTGTGTTACATTTGAAACAAACCCTTGCATCTAATGGAAAACACCAGTTACTGATACTGCCCTTTAACAAGCAAGTGCAACACCGTTCTATGCACTCCGTAAGTTACTCATCTACTGCACTTTGTTTCAGAGTACTTACACCCCAAAAATAAGTGTAGATGGCTAGTTCTTGTGTTGAGTTACAGGATGTGCTTAATGTTTCTGAAGTGAAATAAAATACTGTTGCAAACATCACATGTATGTTCACTTGCTTTTGAACAACCGGGGGAATAGCACTTGAAGGATTCTCTATAGACTCCAGTGAAGGAAAAAGAAACTCCCCTTTTCCTTCCTCAACTCTGCAAGTGTCAGTCACACCAGGGCACGTGTTTCCACTGTTGCTTCAGGATCAGGCTTGGAGTTGGAATCCTTTCCCCTTGTACAGGAATGATAAAACTAGTTCTTGGGGTTGCAAGTGGGGAGGAGCAGCTTTAGCAACTTGAGATTCACAAGGGTGTAACCTGGCCCTTGCTTCATGTTTCCTTTTTCTCAGAGCTTCTTTAAGATTATTAACACCCCCTACTGATCAGAAAAGGTAATGAGGCTGACAAACAGCCAAAAATGTTTTCTCCTGCCACTTCATGTTAACTGGACCTTCACAACAAGGTAAATACTAAATCATGGCAGACTGAAATCCGACTGAATGTTGCCCAAATTGTCAAGCTAAACTGAACTTTTATATAAAACAGACTCCCCTGATTGATTTGGGATACACCCACTGTACTGCACAGTCAGCTTGGTGGAATGTACTGTCACAGACTGCTCAGGCTGGAGGTGGCTTATGCAAAGACAGCTGGAATTACCACACCACAGAATGAAATCTGTCAGTATGAGAGACAGCTCTTTATATATCACACAACAGCAGACATGACTTCAACCAAAACACCATTTAAACCTAGAGTTCTACATATACAAAAATATTTCATTTATATAGTATTCATATGTGATTGGAGGAGTGAATCTTCAGTAAAAGATTAAAGTCTTTGCCATGCAGAGCATGTAATTCTTGCTCTCAAATACTGTATGGTTAGAAAATTTTTCACATAGTTATTTTGAGAAGAGGAGCATCTAACTGATTTGGTGAACACTGTTAAAAAACAGCAGTGAATATTTCAGTTGGACCATAGCTCTGCTAAAAGTTACTAAAAAATCCCTAATGGTGTAATCACAGATTGGCTTGTTTTCTGTGGATGTTCAGCTGCAAAGTCATCGTTTGACCCATGAGGGATCTTTGGTTATATCTGCATTTTCTGGGCCAAGTACAGCTTGACCACGAGTGCTCTTCCCAACTGCAAGGTACCTTGAAAAAAAGAAAAATAACCCATGAACAAGTTAGAAGCTGCCACATGCAGTTAACCACAGCTCTGCTATACAAGTTAAAAATACTTCCATCTCAGGAAGCATGTCCTTTGTTACATACAACTTCTGTTTTGCCCAGTCATCATAACAGTCTATCCTCAACTCTGTATTTGGCTGTAGTGGAATTCTTACATTACAGTGGAATGCAGATCTCAGATACAAAATGCTACAAGTGTAGCACCAACTCATAGTAGTCTGTTCATACTCCACACACTTTCTGGGCCTTTTGAAAGCAAATCAAACCCAATCACACAAATTCAGAGTGTAGGAGGGAGTTACATCTGCTAAACATGCAGATGTTTATAAAATAAGCAGGATATAATTAACATGTCCCTTTCTAGGTTACAGAAGAAAAGAAAGTAGTATGGAAGACCAAGGGAAGAAATCCAGCCACTTAATTATGACAACTGAACACAGGCTTACTTGTTTGAGACATCAACCAGGTTATCACTGCTGACAGCAAAAAGTTGTTCTCTGTGCGACTGCTTCATTTCATCAGAAATCCCATATAAGAAATGACCCATTCCTAGGAAAAAGAAAACAAAACCACACAGTGCTCTGGTGCACGGGAATCTCACAGCCACATGCAGGAATGAGAGCAAACTATGACAGGAATGTGTGCTGGAAAGGAATAGAGACTCCCATCAAGCCACTGTTCTGAGAGGATATCTAACTGAATAAAGCATCACAAGTTAAAACCAGGGTGAGGTAGTAACAGTTTCCTATTCCGGAAAAAAACAACTCTGTTTTGGCAAATGATTTAGTTCGTCAAAAATCTGAACATAACGGTGGCCCAGGAAACTTAAGACATAATTCATTCTGAACAGTGACAGTTCTTTCAAACAGCTTTTTAAACAAACTGCATTTCATGAAGCTTCTATTTTTAGAACTTTTTTTTCAATTTTCAGTCAATCGTGACATATCTGTAATGTGAAGGTTTACTCACATTTTTGTATTAAACACAGAAATCTGCATACAAATACTTTCAATGTTTTGTTGGAGTACTTGCCTGCAGCGTTTTAATACTAAATATTATCACTCCTTGAACAACCAGAGAACTCCAAAATAATCACAGAAAAGCTTTTTGTCAGGCAAATAACCATAGGTAAATAAAGGTGGCTGGGAGGATTTGAGTCAGCTAGTCCAACCTCCTGCCCAAGGCAGGGCTGACGTCCCAGCCAGGTAAGGCTTTCACATGCATCTGCAGGGCCCAGTGACTCAAAAGCATGAAGGGACAGGCGTTCCTTGCACCAGTTCCCAGGCCTCTGGAACAGCTCTCCTATTCAGTGCTCTGTTAAGATCTGTGTTCAAATGCCAAAGAATGTTCGTCATCCCTCGCTGACACCAACACCCAGTGTGCAGACACTGCACTCGTGTGCACCTCGCAGAGATTGCTTTTTAATTCCCCAGACCAAAACCAGACTCTGACAGGTAAAAAGCTTAAGTGTTCTTGTTTAAAAAGTTAGTGTTAATACAAGCACATATTAAAATAGCGCAAATCTTAACCTTATAATTCCTTTGTGTATAGGAAGGAAACATTATTTCAACTGGGCAAGTTTTGGATTGAAATTCAGCTGAGAGCAAGGGAGAGAGAGAAGTGAGGACAGCAAAGCTACATGTCAGTAAACTGAAAAGATAACCAATGCATCCTGAGTGTGCAGATCTGCAAAGAAGCTAACACGTTCCACCCCAGCAGACAGCCTTCTGTGCTTTAATTTCTTCAGAGAGCATACACACGAAGGGCTAGTGACATTCAAAATCAATATGCCTGCTTGAGTCAGGAAAATAATCCTTCAGCTCTTTCTGAATCAGAGAACCAGTATTTCTTTTCATTTGTCTGCATATAATGCTCTCCAAACCTAAAATAATTTCCTCAATCTACCTCCATCTGACACAGAGGAGCAGTATGAACAGAACTCCAGAAGAGCTGAGTGCATGAGGGCTTTCTGAAAGGGAGCAACAGGAACCAATGGGTTCATTTAAACTGCTATTATCTTTCATCTGCCAAACACAACTTTTATCATCTGACACAGTTTAGAAAACGATTTTCTTCACTTAAATTAAAAAACAAATAAACACTGACAGCCCTGGGAGGATGATGAGAATGTACCTTTGTCTGAGGGAGCTATTGGTGCATCCACGGCAGCAAACACTGCTAGTTTAGCTTCATCAATATCTTGCTGTGTGAATTCTCCAGATTTGGCCCATTCAACTGCCTTTTCAAATGTTTTCAAGGTGGCTAACGAATTTGGGTCCCTTAGAAGAAAAATAAAAAAATTACTTCAATGAAAAACTGAAAATTCATTTTTTCTCAATTAATTCATAATTTACTTATGCATCACACAAACATACGTGGGGAAAAATAAATTATAAACTTCCATTTTTTCATACAAAAAGAGGTCTATGGGATTTGGTTTTGTGTTTCTTTTCCAGAAGCAGTGTTACTAGCCAAGCAGATTTGGAATTTTAGATACACAGGTACAGAAATTCAGCTGCCTAAAAGTAGTTCCAAGATGGTGTAGAGAGAAGTGGTGTAATAAAAGCAGGTCAGGTAAGCCAGTGCTGTTCAGTGGGCTCCAAAAGCACCACTGCCATTACTGTCCACACCAGGAATATTTATGATATGCCCTATCTTCTCAGTTGCTTTTCTTGCCACACCTGTTTTTACTCTCTGTAAAACAGGTGCCACAGGTTAACTGCTACTGGCAAGTTAAGGATTACTGCCAGGACAAGTCCTACCTTGCTGAAGCTTCACACAAAGGCCAGGCTGCTCAAACCTCAGTTAGGAACCCTGGCCAAGCTCTGTGCCAGGCTGCCTTTGGGCTAGGGAAACAACTGAAGCCAGGACTCCATCCACACATTTCTAGTGGGGATTACAACTATAATACATACCTGCAGTTCAAATTTCATCTGAAAATGCCTTGGTAAATCAGATACAAGGTAACTGTTCAGGACTGGCAAGAGAGGAATAGAAAAGAAGGAGCAAGCAGTTCTAGCTCATCACCAGCAGCTTTCTGCTGTATTTTTGATGATTTCAGCCAGTCGCTTTAAGGAAGCTGCATATTTTCAAACTCAGGATCTTAGGGAACATCACCATTCTACTTCATGATCTCAATTTTAGAGTAATCTTAAATTTCCTTTTTTAGGGCCTCCTTAACCCAGAAAAAAAGTAAGTGAATGCCAGTTAGTGAGACAGTAAACACGAAGTGCAGAGGTGCAGCAGCACTGAATCACTCAATTTTATCCCTTTTATTTCACTTCATCTTGAAAGGCTGCTACAATGAAACCAAAAAGAAGACAGCCAAATGCACGAGTGGTCCCCTCAGCCATCACGAGGAAAGAAGCACAGTTACCTGTAGGAGTAGAATGTGAATATGCCATTGGGACTAAGTTTAGCACCTCCACCATAAGCCCCTCCTTTCTCTCTGATTTCTGTGTGTAGGAATTTAGCTGTCATCAACCGTGCGAGAATTCGAAGGCTGAAATGAGAGCAATAGAAGCACAAAGATGTGAACCAGGCAACAGTACCAGTCTCAACTGCCTCTAAAGCTCATCCAGATCCCCATTTACAATGCACTGCTTCTTGTAAACTATGACAATCACAACAGCAATACTCAGTATTTAGTAATAGCTGAATAATGTCCCATCACTGTATGAGGGGCACTGAACTTTGCTGCATGCAGTAGGACTGTCAACTCAGGACATGTCCAAGTAGGCAGGGCTGTTTATTCCAAGGTAGGGGATAGTAGCCCCTCAGTACTTAATCAACATTTACAGGGCTGCTCGGAGCCCAGCCATGCAACAGTTGCTTCGTGAAGATTTTGTAACAAATGCATTG